CACAAAGATGACGTCCAAAATCAAGGTGATGCAATTGAAGACTCGATGAAGATATGCCTCCAGCGACTGAGTTTCCCTCTACCCAAATCCAAAGTGTTGGAACATCCTCTTCGCATCAAGAAACAAGACAATACATGGAAGATATGTTATCTGACATGAATCAAAGGATGCAATCGTTCTTCACTCTTTCTGATGTACGACATGAGGAGTTAATTCGCCGTATATTGGATGTAGATGATAAAGTGTGTCGTTTAGAGAATAGATTTGATGCACACTTTAATGATCATGATAGTGAAGAATTTTAAATTCTGTTATGTATTTTCTTTTGTTATTGTCTTGATGTTGTAATGGATGAATGATTATGAAATAAAATATGATGCTTCTTTCATGCTATGATTAAGGGGGAGCTTTTTCTAAATTATGCATATTTTGAGGGGAGATCTAATGTTTGTTCTTTCAGAGTTCTTTTTGATTATAATCAAAATAGGGGAGAAAAATTTAAAGCCTATATTCAATTTTAAATTTTATCTGGTATGTTTAATGTGTTTGTTAGTATGACAGATAAAGCAGGTTATTACAAGGGCTTTAAAAAGACAATTTTGATCATCATCAAAAAGGGGAGATTGTTGAACATTCAAGGACTTGATGTTGCAAATAATGATCATGAAGAATGTTGATTTTGATGATGATCCAAGAGCTTAAAGACTTAGAGTATTGAAGATTGAAGATTGATGATTTACGTATTGTAATAACTCTGTTTTAGTTTGATTGAGTCTGTAATTATAGAATCTAAGATAAGCTAGGTACATAGTCCGTAACTTAGAAGCTTCAAAAAGCTCAAATTTATCATTCGGGCTCGGCTTTAATCGATTAAATAGGTAAATAATCGATTAAAACAGTGAGAAAATCATTTTACGTACAAACTCACTACTTTAATCGATTAAACGACAAAATAATCGATTATTCCGATACGATTCAGTATGAGATAATCGATTATTTCACCAAATAATCGATTAAACCAGAAGTATTGGGTTCGACGTATTTGACTCTGTTTTAATCGATTATTACTCCAAATAATCGATTATTCCGATCTGTTTCTAATTTTAAACTTCAAACAAACCCTATTTTCGAAAACCCAATTACCAAGAACCCTAGTTTCGAAATCCCCAAATCCTAAACCCTAATTTCCCTACTTAAACTCTCCTTTGGCACTAAAAAAAAAAGAAGAACAACTTTTTCCATACAAAAGTTAAGTGTTGTGAGTGCCAGAGAACTGTTTGTTGCAAGAAAAGGGGGCTTTTGGAACCTGGTGTGGGCTAGAAGCGATAAGAATCACTAAGTGGAGTTCTTAGTGGATTGTGTGTTGTGCCGTCTCTGGGGAAAGCTGTTCTTCATCTCTTGTGGGTTTCAAGAGAGGTGTTATCTTTTACTTTATCTCTTCCATTGTAATTTGTATTGTAACAATTTGTTTATAGTGACAGCGTTAATCCTCTGTTGAGTGATTAGCAATCTGGACGTAGGGTCTTTTGATCCGAACCAGTATAAATTTCCTGTGTAAGACTCTATCCCTTTCTCTATTTACATTTACACAGTTTTTAATCGGTAAAATTTGGGGAAAATTTTGAAAACCTAATTTTTATTAAGAAACCAATTCACCCCCTCTTGGTTTTTGTCCGACCACGCGAACATTCCGTTGTGCGATTCTAACAATATCAATTGTAGATGATTTTCCCGATACTATCAAATCTCTATATTTTCACCCTAAGATGTCATTGATAACAAAAATTAAAATTAATATAATCACATAATTATAGTCAGAATAAATTTCTAAAATTTGTGATAACAATAAAAAAATATATATATACAGACCAATCATATAGTAATATTAATTTCAAATTTATTTATCAAACTATAACTAAATGAAAATAATTATTTTATCTTACCACTAATTTGTGACCTTTTGTCTTCAAGAATCTCCAACCTTTGTTTCTAAGTTCCAATTTTGCACTATTATTTTTATTCTTCTTTAAATTGATGTTAATCCTAAAAGAGTCTATATTAAAGAAAAATACTATAAATTTATTAATGTTTTTAACAAGTAAAGTTTTAAATTTACTTTTTTTAAATTGATAAAGAAAAATAAGAAAAATACTTACAAAATACTTAATAAAATTTACCTTAATGATGTATTTTTGTTTCATATTTTTGTAATTTTGAAACTTTTAAGGATTCAAACGGGAGAATGACACATTAGTTAGTGTGTGTTTGAAAACATATTAAAATCCTTATCCAAGTAAGTCCAATATAAAAATTACAACTTTATCATTCAAGTAATCGTGCATCTATAGTCTTCAATCATAAAATCAAATACAACTACAAATAAAAATGGTTGAAACTTGAAAATGAAAAGTAAACAAATATAAAACTACTATTATCTTACGAATTACGACACAAGTATTAAGTTTCTTTAATTTTTTCGTTTATAATATTATATAATATGATAATTTTATTATATTATAATATATAAACTTACAAACCAAAGTTACACGGAACTCCTGAGATTGATGTGAGACCTTTTTTTACTATTTCTAATATAAATTTTTTTATAATATATAAATAAAATATAATACATAAGAGGGAGGGGTCGGGGTCGGGGTCGTGCTTGCCCCCTGGACCTAACTCAACTTCGGATATTCCTCAATCTATTTATTTCAATATCTTTAGTTTTAATTAGTATTTTAATATTAAAAAAAAAACAGTAATTAAAAATAACATTACGTACATATGATAGTATAGGATATTTATCATAATGTAAAAATTTAAGTGTTAAGTTTAAAAGTATTTATTTACTGTAACAAATCAAATATAAGTAATTAATATATTAAATTTTGGTAGCGGAGAGACAAAAGATAATGGTGAAACTATTTCCATCACAATTTATCATGTATCATCTTTAAAGTTATGTTCTCATAGATTTTGAGAAGAAAATTTTGTCATCTCTAAAAATGTTAAGTCAATGTATCATCATAATTTATGATATAAAAGAAATGTATAAAATAAGTTGAGAAAAATCTATAAATAACTAATATCATATTGATATATAATAACAATTTTAAAAATAATTATAGTTGTATTCATAACCAAAATTAAGGGGTAATCCCAATTTTTTTATATATATAATAATTATTTTTAAAAATTAAATAAAAATTATTTTATAAATATAATTAAAATTATTTTTTAAATATAATTAAAATTATTTTTTAAATATAATTAAAATTATTTTTTATCTATTTCTTTCTCAATTCTTCATTTATAATAAATATTTATATCTATTCTTTTATGTAATTTTTCACTTACACTTTTTTTTATTTAATCTTTACATTTTTATCTTTTTTTCTCCCACTTTTTCACTTTTCAACTTCAACTTTTTCTATATATAAGATACTCATCTTTTTTTTCCCTATTTTTTTTACCATTAATTCATTTTCATATTCTTCTTTTATGATTTCACCTTACATTATAAAATTTATAAGTTTTTCTCATTAGTTTTCATATATTTTTTTACAGTTTTATCTTTATAATATAAAAATTGAAATTTTTTGTTCTTTATATATTTTTTTCAAATAAAAGAGATACCCATAATAATTTTCTTGAAATAAAAAACAGTAAATAAATTTATTTTCTTCATTATTATACGAAATCAGTATTTGTATTGTAATGTAAAATATGAAATATTGATATTATTTTTTAGTGATTAATTATTTATTTTAACATTTTATGATATTTTATTTTGATGTTAAAATGTGGAAAAAAATCAGGATTTTTTTAAGAGAAAAAGATGATAAATAAAAAAAATAAACTCTAGTTTTCATAATTTAAATTCAAATAAATAATATTAAATATATTGTTAAATATTTTATATAATATATTTATTTTTATATTATAATTAATTAATCCTTCTTTTAAAATTCCTGTCTCCATACCATATTATGTAATTATGATTAATTTTATAATCGTGATTGTATCAACGATTATTTTAGTATTATTGTCGATCCATTCCAATTAATTATAAAAATATAATCGTATTTTTTTTAACAATAGTCTCTAAGTAACTGTCATACAAAAAAATACATTTTAGGCATATATGCACTAGTTTAATTTTTGTTGGAATAAACCACTTTAATTTTGTTGTCAAATATTTTAGTTATATACTTTATATATAACTGGGGTGTGCTTAATTGTGTTGGTTTTTCATTCAAGGTGCATTGTAAGTATAATTTTCCGCTCGAGAATAACGTATTAGTTTAAGTACTAATTATTATTGTGGAAGTTAAACCATTTATTTATTTTTTTACTTAATTAACAAGAAGATATTATCCTTCATCATAAATTTGAGTATTAAATAAAGCAGGTAGAATTTTTTGTAAAATTAAATATGATATTTAACTTGCACATATTGGTAAGTATAAAAAGGCCAAAAGGCCTTGTATAAAGAAGTGAAATTCAAAATTTTATTGGCTGATTCATGTTTCTTATTTTATTGCATGTGTCTCCAATGCCTGTGCTGCTGTGTAATCTAGTCAATAAGAACTCAGAAATGGATTTATAATAGAGACTGTAAGATACCTTCAGTCACACCTTCTATTAGAGAGTCGAAGATGACAAAGCTACTTCCTGTGGGGAGTTTATTCTTCAAAAAATCTCAACACCACTTGATCATGGGATTTACACTGAAATGGTTTTTCTGATAAATTAATTTTGCTATAACATAAAAAGCCATGAAGCTTACGTAGTAGTTCACTATGTATTACACACAAGAAAAACATATGGTGACAACTCAAGAGGAGAATTCACTTCCAAATTTCAATCAATCATTTCAACAACCAGCCATCATCTGTTTCATTGGAGATCAAAATGACTTGAAAGCAATGACATTAATGGTTTGGACGAAAACACCTTTTGGTGATGATGATGATGCATTTTATTATAGGCCAGGTCCCCTAATGAGGTAGGGGGATATCAGCCAAGTCTTCTCTGTAGGGAACTTCACTCAACTCTAATTGACCATCAGTCATAAACCCCTTCTCCATGTGGGTTTGCATTGCTGGTTCATTCTTTGTCTCAGTATATGTCTGAACAGTGTCTTTTCTGAATGTTAGGTATATTATTGCACCAACATAAACTGCCATTAGAGGAAACACTACGATCCCGATGAACACATTTGCCACCTTTGGTAGACTGTTATGAATTATCCAACCCACGAAGGCTGTAGAGAGGTAGTACACATTGATACCAATGATTCCAAAGCTCAGAATCCATGACAAGACAATGATCTACACCGAAATTATATCACTTTTTTATCAATCTAAAATCTTTAATTCTTCTCCAAGACATCATGGTAGTGGATAGTATTATATATGATGGGATAAAAATCTGCCATTCTTTTAGCCATAATTAAATCGGCATTTATACAGACGAGGGAAGAATACAACTCACAATTATAGAATTCGTGTGAGGTCCCATCTTGGAACTGCTACTGCTGAACTTAAGGAGTGGAATTAAAGCGAATGGAAGCTCAAATGAAAGTATCATCTGCAAAACAATTGTGACTTTCAATATAATACTTCAAAGCTCTTAGAACATTTACTAGTGGAACTAATGAAAACAAAGAAAAGACAAGTTCTAGAATATACAAACCGATGCAATGATGATAAGCCGACCAGCCCCTTGAGAACCCCCAATGATTGAAACTATAAGACTAGGTGTTATGGCAACGCACCTAGTTAAAAAGTTTCTAATCCATGTTTTCATCCTCATGTCCAAGAAACCCTACAGCATCAAACCAAAAACTTGAGCATATCCTTCATCAAATTATAAAAATTATAGTCTATAATGATATTCCTGAGTAACCTGCATGATGAATTGCCCTGCATAGGTTCCAGTGATAGCTGAACTTTGTCCTGAGGCTAGCAGTGCTATGGCATAAATGGTAGAGCTCGACCGTCCCAACACATTCTACAAGCAAAGGACATCAATTTTTGGTGTCAGATAAATTGAGCTGAATTAGGAATAAACTTTACATCATGATTTTACTATGGCAACTTATGTATGTATAGTGGACTAAACAATAACCTTGAGAAGAAAAGAAGCAGAGTTAAGGGTAAGATCGTTGCATTGACCAGCATTTTCTGCAGAAAGATTGTCAGCAGAGCAAACAGCACCGGACACAGAAACCATTGCAACATTGATTAGGAATGCAACAAACAGTGCGAACCCACTTTCCATGAGAAAGTATCTACATGCATCCTGCGTATTAAAGCAGAATACGTCATACTAAGCTTATTTGAAAGTTTGTCATTTCTTTCTTTTCAGAGTGGCTTACATTGATGCCACGCACGGAACTGGGTACTTTTCTAGACAGGACCAGAGCTGAGTGGAGGAAGAGATTGTGCCTGCATTTTTCATCGCCTAAACATTAGGCAGTGAATATGCTAATAAATCTATAAGTTAACAAATCTATAACATGTTATCATTTAGCTAGTAAATTAAATTAAATTAATGATGTGTTAGTACTTTAAGTGATTTTATAAGGGAAGAAAAAAAAAAGTAACTAAGGAAAAGAGGCAGAAGATTACGGCATGACAAGGGCACCCAAAAGAGCAATAGCATCGCCTGTGGCTCCTTGACCACTTAGTTTTGGCACAAACATTCCTTTTAATACACCAGACACAGGTGGTTTTACGTAGCTCATTTCCCCAAAGAAACATCCAGCCATTATAAAAACTAGCACTGATATCAGCAGCTCCAACTTCCTTACCTGTTCCAACAGTAACACCCAAAAAATATGTGTTTAATTAATCTCAAAGACTAAGACCAATTTAAAATTCTCTTTGGACAATCCCTTACTGTTTCAAACTGACGAACATATCAAAGGAAAAATTGAAAATTAAACACTATTCTGAGCTATATTATTGGTTCATAATTCTTATTTATTAAACAAAATTACCCCAAATCTCTGCAGACCAAGAAACAAGAGGGTGCTGCAGCCAGTCAGCAGAACTCCTACCCATACAGGGATGTTGAAGAGAATGTTCAACGCGAAGGCTGTGCCAATCACTGTCATAATCAAGTTTGGATAAAAAGTAATGAGTGTCAATTGATATTAGTTTGATTAACTTATATTTCTAGTTGCCAATTTAGTGAAAAACTTAAAAAAGATGTAATTATTTATTAAAATAAAATCAATAAACCATTCCTAAGCTGCTAAGCATAGTAATTATTTACTTTTGATTCAAACAACCTTTGCTCATAACTGTTTTTAAGATGTTTTTTCTGGTCTTTAGAGCACCCTTTACCTTATATCCCTTCCTCTCTTAATTTTCTTTTTCATAACAATATATCTCTCTCTTTATTTTAAAAATTGACGTGAAAATATTGTTGTGGGGGGCACTCCTACATGATTTTGATTGAAAGTTGAAAGGAAAAAAAAGAAGAAAATAGAACCTTCAGGTATGTCTGCTGCTATGACAGCAAGCTCAGCTAATAACCATAAGCAGTACTTCACCAATAAAGGATATTCGACTTTACACAATTCTGAAAGGTGTTTTCCTGCAAAATTTATGACACAATAATTATTTCTCAAACAGAAAGTATCTATCTTATAATCTTCACCTACCTTTTATTACAAGTTACAACTATCCACTTTTCTCTTTCATTTTTTCCCCTCTCGTCTATCTCAATTATGAACTAGGTTAGAACGCAAAAACTTAAATATATTAACCATTCAATTATATATATAATTAAATAATTACCCGTGGACACGCCAAGATTCGCAGCCAACGATTGAATTATAAGCGCAAACACCAATCCAATGAGTATTACCCAGAGCAGCTGAAATAGAAGACAACGTGTGATTTCAACTTTGGAGCTTTTATTATATATTTCAGCAAACAAAGAAGACATGTATAAAAATATCTTTAATTTTTGGCATGCATATATTGTGTAAATTCACACGTTGTTTGCTATATTCTTCATTCAGATTTAGTGTAAATTGTTGTTTAAATGATATACCTCATATTTGTGAGCAGCTCCAGCTTGCAGATCAGTTTCCACTGCATTTGTCAACGGCAAAGAACTAATAAGCTTTGTATGTGATAAAGGGTGGGAGACACATGAATGTATATTATAGAGTGAGAGAGTTACTGTTTCCAGGATCAAGGTAGGCCAAGGAGACCAGAAAGCCAGGACCTACATATGCCAGGAACTTCTTCCACCCAGGCTTCTGTGTCATTATAAACCCACCAATGTTAAATGCACTTCTTTACATATGTTTTTATTCTCTGATAAAATTAGAATGAAGACTTTTACACACAACACATCTTATTATGCAAAACAAAAGTAACATGCATGAAGAATGTAAATCTTGAGAACAAAGGCAACTGATAGAGAAAGAAGGAAAAGGACCTCAGGATTTGAGGTGGCGTCATGATGAGATGGTGCAGGAAGGTTGTTAGAGGGAGAGACATCGACGGCTACTATGCGGTTGCTACCTCCATTAACTCCCTGTGGTTGCTGTTGCATCAAGCTCGCCATCTATCAGTGTGTTATTGTGTTTGCAGTGCATACAAGCTTCAGGGTGATTTGAATGGATAAAAGTATATGTTGAAGTGTGTATATTTATAGTCAATAACTGAACAGTTATGACACAATTATTAGTTTTGCGTTCCAGACAAGTTAGAGTTCCATTTTCATGCCTCTAACTCGCAGCTAGATGATGACACCACGTCCCTGTCTTCAATGTAAGCATTTTGTTTAGTGCAGATGGCATGAATCAGAAGACGTTTTAATCTTCTTCACTTTATCATCATATCATACTTTGGGTAATATCTATATTTTATATAACTTTCAATTGTGTAAGGAAAACAATCTTCAAAAATTTAATGTTTGGAAGAATCTACTCATTTTTGGAATTTAAAATTGAAATAATCTAAAATTAAAATTGATAAAAAAATGAAAATTCATTAAAATAATTTTTTTATTAGATTAATTTTTTAATTATAATATTAAAATTAAACATTTAATATTTAATATTTAATATTTGTAAACTAATTAATTTTTTAATTAAAAATATTATTATCATTATTTAAATTAAATATCAAAATAAATTAAAATTATATTTTTATAATATATTTTATATTTAATAATTATTTTATTATAATATATAATAATTTTATAAAAAAAAAATTAAACTAAACCGTAAACTATGGACTTAGTTTAGTTGGTATTATTACAAATTTTAAACCAAACGCATCTAAATTTTATAATTTATGAAAAAACATTTATTTATATTAATGTAATGATAAGAACACTTATTAACATTCATGTTATTTATTTATTTTATTAGAAGAAGTATCAATATATATTTTATATTTTAATATATTTCTGAGCGTCAAGATGAAAAATAATTTATATATATTCATATTTTTAAAATTCTAAAATGGAGAGAATTAATTCTAATAATATTAGTAAACTAAATATTAGTGTCGATAAGAACCTAAATCTTGTATTTGTTAATTCCGACTAGAATTTTTTTATATAGATTTAACCCAATAAAAATAATTTTAATTTATTTATTCACCACTTTTCCATATAGCCTCACATAATAACTATATATTTTAAATTTTAAATTAATTTTATAATCCATATTTCAATTTTTTATGAGATCATTCATCTTACTTTATTTTATCAGCAGAGTTTAAGAAAAAAGTGGGAAGAAACTTTTTTTTCTAATTTAGTGATATTGTGATGTCACAACAAGATGGTTAGGTTAACATGTAAATGGAGTAGGTAATACTAATTTTTATTCTCTCAATCACAACTATAGTTGCACCACCAATTAAAATACTAATGGCAATAATTTCATTAAAAAATTATTGATTTGGATAATTTGTGTTTTACTTAAAAACATGACTTTCACTTTCTTTTTAATATATATTTTTATTATTCTTTTTTTTTTTACTTTTTTTCCATCTTTTAAGTTATATTTTGACACATGACCTTCCTATTATTTAACTATTATTATTATTATTATTATCAATTTTTATTTTTTATTATAAATAAAAATTTATTATGTTATAATTAGTATTAATTATTATTAGTTATTAATAATATTAATTATAATAAAAAATAATAAGTGTATTCATTTTTATTTATTAGTATTAATTATTTATTTTAGTAATAATACTAATAAATGAAAGTAATTAATACTTTTATTTATTATTTTTATTATATTTATTATTTTCAATATTATTATTATAATTATTTTAATAAATAATATTGATAGTACTGATTATATTAAACAGACAACAATCATATCTAATATTATATTAAATTTATTGTTTATTATTATAATTTTACTAATTTTCATATGATAATAACTTTTTATTTATAATAAAAAATTAAAAAAAAATAATATAAAAAATTAAAATAAACATTTAAAAGATTAAGTGAAATCTTGCATCATCAAGACTTTACTAAAAGATAATAAAAACATTAAAAAAAATTAAATAGTTTTTGAAGTACGAATTCAGCACTATGTATTTAAAAAGTAAAGCCGCGCTTTTAAACTTGACTTCTATAATATTTTATAAAGTCGTATTATATTTATGTATTTTTTTTAAATACCCTTTATTAATAAATTTTAAATGAGAATATATATATATATATATATATTATTGTACATGATAATAAAAAAATAACACAATTAAGAAACCAGAAAAAAAATACTTACTATAAAGTTAAGGTAAGAGTAAAATCATGTATGAAAAATTATACACCAAAAAGAAATTATAAAAATATATTTTCTTGTTAATTATTATTATTATTATTATTATTATTATTAATTATTATTATTATTATTATTATATAAACCTTTTATTTTTATTATTTTTATTATTTATATACACAAATTTTTGACTATTTCACAAATGTAGATTTAGATATGTATATCAACTATTTTGTAATGTTAGAGTTGTTTCTTACTTGTATACTTTTTCAAGTTTTATTTTCAGTAAGTGTAAGATTTTTTTCTTACATATATATATATATATATATATATATATATATATATATATATATATATATATATATATATATACTCTTTCACCTAATATTATTGGAGTTGATGCATGGAAACTGTGATAAATGATTCTTTTAATACTCTTTAATCAATTTCACAAAATTATTTTGTAAGAAAATAATTATTCATTTTCTTGTATAATTTTATTTTATGTATAATAATATGATATGTTATATCTGATATATCAACTATAAGATATATGAGAGAATTGAATATGAAAATAGAAGTTTATGATAGATATAGAAAAATTATAATTTTTGCAAAAGTAAAAATTTTCTTCCATTATATATTATTAATTAACAAGATATTCTTTTTTATATTTTTTTTGGACTGAACATTTCAAACAAAAAATTTATATCAATACTCATTTTAAGTAAAAAGTTCCTCACACAATAAATTTGTATGAATTCTGACATCTTATTATAAATTTAAAAATTTATTTTGACAAATATCATTTTTTTATATAAGAGTTTTTTCTATCCATTTATTTATTAATTATATATTTTATTAAAGAAAGACTAAAGTTTTATCCTATTAACAAATTCAACCATATCTTTTAATATAATATTTACATCCTTTTCAAAGAAATAAATGATTGTAACATACTCTAAGAAAATATATACATTGTCCTTAATTTGTAGCTCCTTTTGTAAAATATTATAAATTTAATCTAAGAAGAAAATATCAATTATGCTCACACCCAATGATTAGTATTAATAAAACGATGATAATTTGTAGATAATGTCATGTGAGGCATGTTTCATGCCCCCTCACTTGCATTTACATATTTTGGAAAACAAATCTTACAAAAGCCTTCAAAAACTTGTCTTCATGATTTTGTAGTTATTGTTTAGTACGATAGTTTTTTGTAATTTTAATTGAAATTTTCTTATTTATAAAAAAAAAATAGAAAGAAGATGAATATGGTTAGAAAGAAGAATATATATATATATATATATATATATATATATATATATATATATATATATATATATATATATGGAAGATAAAGTGATTAGTATAAAACTTGTTGTAAGATTCCATTAAGACGAAATAGTGATCATGATCAGCACTACATATAGAAAAGAATCTGTGGGTCAATGGATACATGTAAAAAAAAATACATATTAGGTGATATGCAAATGTTCTTAGTACTTGTCTTGATTGGAAATTTGTTTATAGCAAAAAAATCATTTGTCTCTTTCTAATGAACTCCAATTCATAAAGTTCCTGTTTTTGTGCATCAGACTGTTAACTTGAAGACAATTCCAAGACTTGATGAGAAACAATAATTTTTTGGCTTGAAGATATTCTGTTTCAGGGTCCTTTTCATGAACAAAACAAAATGAATTGATTCCTATCCCATCCTCAAGTGCAAAGTTGGTTTTACATAATATATGTTAATTAATAAGCATAAAAATCATCATTTTGATTAACAAATTCACCCATTTGTCTGGAATAGATGAATTGACTATCATATTTGAAAGCAAAAGATGACAATAGGAATAAGAGGGGTCTAGTTAGGTCGAAAACTCTTACAATATATAATAAACTGTTATTTTGTGTGGTGTGGCCTGCAAAATGCATGTTTTTTGTTAAATGGCCATAATATGCAACTTGCAGAAGGTGACATAATCATCTTTGACATTATGCAGCACAACATATATATATATAGAAAATATAGTGTGCATGATGGATGTTGATGTGATCCTATGTTAGGGTTGATAATATGTTGCATGATTCATTCAGATTCTTAAAATATGAAGTTATGGTAACTTCTGAAATCATAAAAAAATGGTGAATGTTGCTGTAGCCACCGTACACAGACATCAACAGCATGTTCTATCTTCTGGCACGTGTTTGATTGGATTGTGTGTGTTTTGAAGTTGGACTCAGCAACTGGCAACACTGGTAATGGTTATATCTCGTTGACTTCTTAATAAACCCATTTTTTTAATTACAGAGAAAAAAAAATGTGTTATTCGAGTAAATTAACGAGAAATGTGGTATTGGGATAATTTTTTTTTATTAAAAAAACATCCTCCAGAATTCCAGGAGATTGAAGATGAGAAGAAATATTTTAATTTAACACCCTGAATTGACAGCATGGACTTTTTAATGAAAGGCCCAGTGGAGAGTTGGGCCAATGTTCAATTACGCTTTTGGATTGAACTTTTTTCAGGCTATTAAACCCGTTCATGTGGGACCGATCCGTCCCCGTTCCGTGTTTGACGGAGAAAACTCAACTTAACCGGAGACAGGGGCAGATTCGAGTTTTCCCCGCTTTAAAAAGTCGGGGACGGGGGCGGGGATGGGTAATGCAATCTCCACCCCGACTCAGGCCCGACTTTATATTTAAATTTAAATTTTAAAATATTAATATTTTAAAAGTATTTTCTTTTCTTTTTCTATTACATATAAGGTCATTTTTTTATATTTTACAAATTTTTATTTTTCTTCTACCTATTTTTTAATTTTTTTGTCTTTTTTAATCTTTTATATCAATTAATTTATTATATTATTCTCTCTTATACCTCATAGTTTTTCATATTTTCTTAATCTCTCTCATCAATTTATTTTTTTTTCAATCTTTTCAATCAATTTGATGAGCACAGTTAATTTTTTTATTCTTTATCTTTTTCTAAATATTTTACATAAATCTTAATAATAACTAATATTATTTTATTTATAATTTATATTTATTAGGTTTATTATGTCATTTGTTTATCTTATTATTCTTATTTATCATATATCAAATTTTATCTTAATAAAATAATTGTATTTTAAAGGATTAAAGGAATTGATAATTTAAACTTTTATTACTTTGAAATAAATTGAATAATAATTAACTTATTAAATATTTCATTATAAACTATATATTTCATATTTTTAAATTACAAATTAAAAATGAATTAACTTATATATATAATCAAATGTTTGAATACAAGTATTATAATAATAATGATAATGTTATAAGTATTCAAATATTTGAATACGATATTATATTAATAATAATAATAATAATAATGTTATAAATAAAAAAATGATTAAATATTTCTTTTACATACATATTTTAATATAAATATAATAAATTAAAATGTATATTTAATTAATAATTATTATAAATTATAAAATTATAAATATTTATTTATATATAAAAAATAGATAGCAAAATTAATTTATTATAAATGTAATTATCTTTTTTAAAATAATATAGATCGGGGACGGGAACTCGAAACCCAGCAGAACGGGGATGGAGACTTAATTTCTAATCCCGACGGATCGGGGACGGAGACGAGAGATGATTAAAAAGTCGGGAGCGGGGATCGGAGAGGCAAAACCCGCCCCTCCCGCCCCGTTGCCATGGCTAATTCTAATAATCTGTTTCTTCCCACGGAATACTCACATGTTCTAAGATTTCATTGTGTAATTTGTCTCATTATTATTTTACCAAAACAGCACTTAATTTAAACATTAGAGTGTTTTTTGCTAATTCATATGCTTATAAAGATATTTTTATTTGTCGCTCAAAGAAAAGAAGAGGTGTTAATTTCTTTTTTAATTTTATTTAATCATTGTATAAAAACACATTTATGAGTTTACTTTTTATTAAAAATAGTAAAAAATTATTTGAAACCACGCAATTAGAAAATTCGGTTGATATTTATCTCTTCAATAAATTAATTAAAGATGCTATGTCAATTTTATCATTCAAAAATAATTTTAATTTTAAATTCATAATATATTTTATCCCTTTAACTTTTAATTAATGTACAAATTCTTATGTCTCAACCAACTATGTGAAACTGAAAATATGACATTGTAACAACAGTTTAAGGATTCCATAAATAAACTTTAAGCTCTTTTTATGGTACTTTAGAAAACAAAAAGTTCAACATTTATAATGTCTTGAGGCAAGTTCAATCCTCTAAGAAAAATATCAATTTTTTATTTAATGATCTTTTCAATATTTATTTATAATTTATATTTACACCACGTAGTAAACTATTTTTAAGAGAGAGAAAAAAATCTCTTCAATTCCGCTCCGTACATTTGCAAGCCCACCCAAAAAGGTTAAAGTCGTAAAAGGACCCAGTATTACCCTTTCAGAAAAGCCCAAACCCGGCCCATTCAGCATCGCTAACGGGCCGGGGTGAAGATACCACAGAAGACGACGCCGTCGAGACCCGGAACGGCGAGAGCGACTTCGTCGACGACAAGGACCACCGACCAAGCGTCTCTAGCTCCGACGTGTAGTCCGCTTCAACCACTCGCTTCGCAACCATCTTCCTCCGCTGCAGCCGCCTCAAAAACGGCGAAAAGAAACAACCCGACGACACGCTCTCTGTTCGAGCCAGGAGGGGCCGCTCGAACCGCCACCGGTCAGACCGGCCCCTGGGAGTGGTCCGGAAGGACCGGGTCCGTGGCTCCGCTGGAGAAAGCAGATAGGACCCCGCCGGCGGCGGTGGCCTCAGCTTGAGCGACGGGGAATCCAGCTTCTGATGGTGGTGCTTTTGTTGCTCTATGGGAAGTCCCGGCTTAACCTCCCATTTGAAAGGAACTGATCCTGGTTTCTTAAACGAATCAGCATCGTCAAATTCTACACTTGCACCCATTGTGTTCAATATTACCAATATTGTTAATTTCTTTTTCAAAACTAAGCAATGGTATGTGAATTGTGAGTGTGTTTCTTGTGAGCACTATGGTGTATTTATATGGTGATGCAATGATGAGCGGTGATTGGGTTCTGTGCTTGCGAAATCAAAGGCATGGATTAGTGGGGACTCTGGGCATGGCCCACACGAGGTGGGACTTACGTGTCCATTTTGAAATGAATATCTGACTTCGTCATTGTCTTGAGTAACTTCATCGGAGAAAAGTGAGACACACGCCATGTGACTGAACTTTGTGTACCGGACTTTTTGGAGTCACATTTTAAAATTGAAACGTCTTTTGAGAATTCATATCATGGCCCTACCTCTTTTGCTGCATTTCTTCCCAGGATTTGAAAATAACAACCAGTGATCTCTCCTGCTTCAACGGACGTAAATTTCTCTAATTTTTAGTTTTTGTTTTTGTCTTTGTCTTTTACGAGCTCTAGAGTCCCACTCAGTACAACATTTGAACGCCCAAGGTTATGGTTCTCGTTCTAGCAGCCTCAGTAGACTATACAGTCATCTGCTAATACCATAACCAATGAGATTGAATGTAGTAAAAGGGGTTATTCCTCACACAATTTGATGAATCAAGAATTAAATCTGTGTTGAAAAGAGTATAACTGTTGGAAGAAGATATCAGATAAAAACTAGTAACAATTGCATGAAATAAGGTTCAAATTGGTAGACAAAAGAACAGTATGTATGGTGCATTTTCATTGGGACAAGTTGGGGCATGTGTAATGATTTAGGTGACGGTGCCACTGGCATTTGAAAGGTTAAAAGAAGTTGTTTTTCGCGCCAGTAGAGTAAGACAAGGTCAGGTGGTAGGGCAACAATGACCCACTACGAGAGGCGTAACGTAATGACTCATAATGACATTCCCATTCAAGAACAACGTTAATAAATCATTTTCTTCAAAAAAATACTAATGGATGTCGTTTTGAGCAATTACAGCTTCCAGAACACAATAATATAGAGCGTGCTGACCCTTCACTTAATTAGTAGCTTCATGAGCTTCTTCTAACTTTGTTATTCAGTCAACTTATTTTGTTGTCAATGTTTTTCATTATTGTTCTTCCTCTTTGGTTTTTCTCCTCTACTTGCCTAATAGCATTTTATGCTTGCTGTTTCATGATTGGATTTTTTGTTCGTATTTGAAGAGTGAAGGATGGGAAGATACAAGTAACTGTTAAGAGGACTTGACATTAGTTTATACACTCTCTGAGCTGTCATGAATTGCTCCATGGTTTTTTCTGGTGGCCTGGATGAAAAAGACCAAGAAGAGAATAATGGACCACGATCAATAATATTAAAGAAATAATATCACCTTTAATAAAAAACTGTAAAATAATATGTTTGTGTGTCTTCTTATTAACATGTTGCTAATTTGTGGGACATCAATTAATACTTGAGCTCTAATATGCTACGGCTACAACAGTTGATAAACTGGGATATTATGATGCATGGTTTTCCTTAATTGTTTGCAGAAAGACTACCCTGATGTGTTGGACTGTATAGTTACTTGTGTTATGAACTTTACATTACGTTTGTCTTATTTATATTAATTATCTTTAGTTGAGTTTGTCAGAGCACTCGCTGAATTTTGTTCTGTTTTCAAATTTGAAGTTTGTTTTGTAACTGTATCGTGGTGAACAACCTTGAACTTGTCAGTCATTGTTCCTAAAACGTCATGTGCTGAAAAGGGTTGACTTCAAATAACTATTATGAACCAGTTGGAGTGTTTCCTGCATAAAAGGTTCTTTCTTAGTAGTCTTGACTTAATCGTAGTGACACATGAGTTCATGTTGAAGGCATCTGGTTTCTTTCCTTAAGGAATCAAGCTTGGTATACTTCAATTGACTGTTTCTTCCTGGGGTTCGGTGCAAGAGCCTTTTGTGAAAATGGAAAAGGTAAAAAAATACTAACATACCAAATAATCTTGTGCTGATTTGGATGTTGTGAATGATAGCATTAAGCAATAGTCGTGTAGCTAGCTGATGATGCAGATGAGTGTTCAGTTTGTGCTAGATAGGACTGCAAAATGCAGGCTCTATTAATTTTATGAAATGAAACTAAATTATTGCTAGGCTATCATTTACTTATTTCCGCTTCTTGTATCAGAGTAAAGGCAGCGCAAATGACGTAGACTTGGTTGAGTTTTTAGATTTTCGACAGTGTTTAACTAGCAACAACTGGTGTAATTTCTGCAGAGTGTTTTGTGAAGGGAAAAAAAAAAGTTTACTGAAAATGGTCACCAAAATATTTTGAACTACTATCAAACTAAATGCAACAGGCATGCAAAATAGCTTAAACAAGTAATGATATAAATGGTGCATCAGAATTTTAATTAATTTGATTGTCATTGGTTAGCAAATGGGGCTATATAACTAACGCACACACGACTACTGAAAAAAGAAAAACAAAAATAAAGATTAATAAATGTCAAAAAGAACTGCGGTTGTTTAAATGTAGAAAAAATAGTAGTGATGAAGAGGTAAAACTGTCCAAAGTTATTGCTGAATTAGTACAATAATATTTGATATGGAGTAGTTATTATATTTTGAGTTGCCAATTAGTAATCAGTTGTCGTGATTATTCCTGTCATAAATTATCCATCTATATCAAGATTAGATAATGAGATATGTCTGTTAAAAAAATACAAGTCTTAGTCAGAATAATTTACGGTAATGGTGATGTCAATGAACGAATGATCATAGTACTAAATAGCATGAGAAATTGCACAAACTAATGCGATGTCGTGCATTAATTAGATGTTCTCATCAACTATCCTTAGCATCGTATATTAAGTTCATAATCCAAAGAAGCGCAACAAATGCTGAAATTTTACTGGGATTGAGGAGATATTCGTCAAATGATATACTTAAGGTACCCATGTTTTTTTTACATGAACTACATTAGTTTGCTGCTACTCATTTTGGTTTGTGCCTTTTCTTTTAACTAGATTGTTAATGCCGATGTTGATCAATAGTACTCAATATATCATCAGGTTTAGTGTATCAGTAAAACAAACTAAACACTAAAATTTCATGCATGACAATATATGAAATAAAATTGTAGATGCGTTTTTAGGAACGGGACGAAGCGTTCCGACAAGTAGAAACACAGTATTGCAGACACAAACTTAGCTCAATTCCCGTGTAATTAACTAGATGAATAGTGATGAATGCATATTTATTTTAAAAATTTTGTACGGATAATATCAAATAGTAAGATGTCAAACGAAATGAATTGCCGCTGATCATGAATTCAACATTTCATTGAATTAGTTCTGAGATGAGACGGAATGGAATTAAGAAAGGAAAGCTTTAACTGCTTTAAATATTTAAGTGCAAAAACAGAAAATTGATCTGTTATGTATTTATCTGCAGCCGCGTCAATTTTGTAGTACTCAACAATGTCCACATAAAGCAAGTTAACAACGGACACCAAATCACATTTCTGACACCCAACTAAACGTGTTTCTTTTTCTTTACAGCAGAATAATTTATCCTTCCGATATGATGACTGCCCAACGTCTAACTCTCGTAAGCAAATCCTTCTGGCATGTTACTAAAAGCTTGCATTGTATTGCTGACCACATCAAGAAGTTGCAAGTATTCATCAGCACCATCAACTAGACACTGCAATTCCATAAGCAACAAGTGAGAACTGTACCCAAAATAGGCAAATGCATACAATGAAATTTTGCAGTTCTTACAAGTTACAAACCAAGAGAAAAATGTGGTAAAATCATGTCCAAAAACAGTAAATGGGAGGGGGGGTAGTGGGCATAATTAATTCCTGAGGAGTCATAAGTAACCTTATCAGCTTCACCCAGCTTCTTGGATATTCTTGCTTTCTGTTCATCTGATATGTCATTTTCTTCAACAATGGCTTCTAATAACTGGAAAAATAAAAGAGAAAAGAAAACTCTTGTTGAAAGTCACACATTGCCTACCTCATATCATTTGGTATGGTTTAAATACATGTTAGGCTACTCCACATATTGTCAAGTGGTTTTATGTTGGAACCTTAACATGGTATCAGAGCCAAAGCCTAACATTTTTCCGGTTATTGTCATGGGCCAAAAGTTGCCCTTTAGTTGGGTCAAAAGTACCCTTTGCCTGGTCCGGCGGGCTTCGTTGGAGGGGGTGTATTGAAAGTCCCACATCGCCTACCTCATATCATTTGGTATGGTTTAAATACATGTTAGGCTACTCCACATATTGTCAATTGGTTTTATGTTGGAACCTTAACAACTCTAATAAGTAACATAGTAGAAGACTTAATGAAACTGGCCCACTGAAACAGAAAGACAAATCCAGACCTGAATAAGCATCTGAGAAGCTGGATATCCCTCTGCAATGAAATTGTTGACTTCCTTGTTTGCGATATCAAAATTACCACTTCTACAAGCTTGAAGAACTGCCTCCACAACTTTTTCTGGAACAACCTGATATATTGATCGAGATTTTATGAAGTTCCGAGAAACAGGAAAAGAGAAAAAGAAGAGGTCGAAGAGGTCCTCTAGTGTATAGTTAGCAGAAATGATATTAAAAACAAAAAACTGAATTGAAAACGAGTTAATGATGCAAAAAAGTGGCACAGAGCTTGAATAGAAGACCCCAAATAGGAGGCCACTTCAAGGAATATATGCAATTTTGACTTCCAATGCTTCATAAAATGGCATAGAGACTGCAAATTTTGTGAATTATATATCCAGGCACCAAATTATTAGGACAAGTTAAAAAAATTATCTATATAATTAAAAAAGCTAGAGTGAAAATCACTTATGATAAAATAAAGCCAAAACTGAAATTAAAAATCCTTGTCCTTCGGCCAATAATTATGACAACCAATCCTTGAGAACAATGTGAATCATCATACATGCAAACACCGTGCAAAATAATGTTATAAACAACTTTATTCTATTACATTGTTTTCTTTGAAAATAGAATCAAAACAAGTCACAGGAAATTAGTGTCACAACCTACCCCAGACACAGAAACCAGATTCTCTGGAGAAATTGAAGATCCAAATAAGCGAGCTGCAGACTGCAACGTTAAATACCAAGTTAGTTCAAAAAATAATTAGGATATGCACTATCCCTCTATTTTCAGTAGGACTACCTTGATTGAATTTAACAAATCAATTAATATTTCCTGGTGATAGCATTACTTGTATTAAAACATAGCACACAAGATAATTTAATTTTATATTATTCTAATAAATTAGTTATGCATAACAGGTGAAAGCAAAATCTACATGGAAACCAGCAGGAAGGAGAGCCCTATAGAAATATTATTTTAAAGGATAGAACAGGATGCAAATAAGTACCCAGACCGTATCACATCTATGCTCTACCAAATTTCTATATAAAGCGCGATTCTTAACTAGAGGCTCTCCTCTCTTATCGGTCTGGTCATTGTATATTCTACACTACATCTTTCCGTTGAATTTTATTCTTAAGCTCACAACTAGAAAAGCATGAAGATGAAAGAATACATTCCTACAAACAGACAACTTTCACTTATAGTAGAGGCTCTCCTCTCTTAACGACAAGGAACTTTTGATTTTAGCACTTCATGAACTTTCCATGATTTTAATCGTTGATTCAGCACTAGATATACATATAAATTGAAAGCATGTCCTAAAAATCAAACAACAAGCAACAGTAGAACAATCTTTTCTAAGGAAATTAACCAAAGATAACAGTTTTTCCTCTAACGATTATTTCCTAACAAACAGAACACGGTCAACACACGTGGAATGTTACTCATTAGTCTGGTGAAGTCAAGCAAAATATGTTGGAACCAAAGCCTTCAAAAATTACACACAAGTTATTTAATGTGAAATGGTTCAGTTAAATTACTCATGAAAACTATTAAAAAATAGAAATCATATGACTTAAATGTTTAAAAATTGAGTGTGCTAATGAGGAAATCCCTCTCACCTGCAAGTATGTGATTGCCCGGCGAAGATCTCCATGAGAAATAGAACTAAGGGTTGAAAGAGCCTATGGAAGCAAAGGCAAATAAAATAATCCATTATGCTGTCAACAAAACCTCTATAAACAAAAGACTGAAACCATCCAGAATTACACCCATTGTGTGAACACTAACATAGTGTTTGGTTGGAGACTAATGGAGGATGGGGAGTTGAAGGGATATAAAATTACAAGGAAATGAAAGTAAAAATTAATTTTTCAAATCTCCCCCCTCCCCATGTGAACCAACTAAAAAAAGGGTTACTTATCCTCTCCACTGAATCCCTCCCCTCCTCTTAACCAAACGGGGTATCTAACCAAAACCCCTCTTTTTCTTTCCCTTCCCCTCCATTGAACTAAATAGTCATAAGGTTCTCACCTGAGCATCAAGACAGAGTCCCTCTTCTTTGCAGATGTATAATATCCGGCTGTTCATGATTTCTTCTGATAAGGGCTTGAACCTGAATTTTGCACACCTCGAAGCAAGTGGTTCTATAATCCTATGAAGAAAATGACAACCATATAATGTACAAAGTCAATGTCACCAATCCTTGGAAAGCATTAAGAAGAACAAAAGGAAAAAGATTATATAAATATAGTTTTATCAATATATTACAAGAAGATGCCATTTGATATGAAAGAAACTTTTCATAGTTGGGAATCATGATTGCTCAAAAATATGAATCCTGAGAATTATGATTCACATGAAAGATTATACTTTATTTGGTTGGTCATTAATAGGAATATTTATACAAGTTTCCAGAACTCAAAGAATAATGTCATTTTTACTAAAATCTTCAATTTGTTACTAAGTTAAATGATTTAATAACAGCCCAAGATATTCTTTTTCCATTAAAATTTTCCTTTTAACTCAGGATAGTTAGATTTTCTCCTCCTCCATAAGAATATTTTTGTGGAAAACTTGGCCAGAAACCATTCGTGGGAAACATGGAAAACATACTTTCTCAAATTTAGATTCCCGTGAAACTACAAACTTTCCTTCTACCAAACACGCCGTAAGGTTTAATTAGGATTTGGTCCCTACAGTTGCAACAACTGTCCATTTTAGTTCCTATAGTTTAAAACATTTCATAATGGTTCATATATTTGCCAATTTTTTACCCATTGGGTCATTGCCATCTAAAGTCATCTAACACCATTAAGATTCATGCAAATTAAATGAGCCAAATCTCATTCATTTCAAACAGTGTTAGCCAACACTTGGTGAGGAGGACCAAAAGGATAAATAATTGCAACTATCGGGACCAAAATTGACTGTTTTAAGCTATAAGGGCCAAAAGGGAAAGTCAACAATCGGGACCAAAAGGTTAATTAATCCTTCCATTAGCATTACATCCCAAAATTGATGGAAATCATGGTCACGGTATCTTATGGAGCTAATCGTGGCCATCTCAGCAACTATTTTTGCTCAAAAAATAAAACTTTTGCACTGGAGTGGTGTCATTTGCACAGTTACGGAGGAGCAAACTTGAGACCCCCCAGTCATAGTGAGCCTTTAACATACACTAGTCGGCAAACTAGATCAATGACAAATGCAGTAGCTTACAGGCCTTCGAGCACTAAGGGAAAAAGGAAAGAAACTTGTACGAAGAAAACTTTTAGGGTGAAAGCAAATATGTGGAAAATTGAGGTCTAAAAAAACACCTTTAAGGTGAACATAACAGTTAAAAATCTTGCATTTAAATTTCACTATTTAGTTGCTTTTTCCTTTAGAGGCTTAAACTAGTTTGATTCCTTGATGATTGTTGTTATTAATGTGTTCATTTCTCAAATTCAGTTTTTATTATTAATTATGAATTTATGTTATCCATATCATATCATATCATAAAGCTACAAAATAGAAATCGCCCTACTCCTTATTAATTACTGTTATCATGGAGACAAAAATACTCAATTAATTACTTAAATATATGAGAATACCAAAATAAACAGTACATCTTAGCATGGGAGACAAGGTACCTGCTCACATAGTTGCATATAAAAAAGAACCTTGTAACTTTAGAGTAAGTTTCCATTGTACGCCTCAGGGCATTCTGGACAGCAATTGCACGTGGTTTGAAAACAGAACACTTTGAGACAAGAAAAGTTAGAAATGAAAAACATAGCAAACATGCCTGAGCATCTTCTGTCATTGAATCAGCCTCATCTAGAACAATAATCTTAAATGATGGACAAGGATAAACTTCACTGAAATATTGAAACACCAAAACAAAGAGGAAGTTATTCAGATCTCTTAAAAGCTGAGAAGGAGAGGAAAAGGGTCTTAAGAGAATTAGATTGCACATACTTCTTGCGCCTAGCACCAACAGCCACCGCAGCAAAATTTTTTATCTTTGTTCGAACAACATTAATCCCTCTGTCATCACTTGCATTCAGCTCCAGCACCCTAGACTTATAGTGCTCAGGCCTGTAATATATAGTTGTTACAAATTACATTCCTTATAGGAAGAAAACAGCATAATTTTTTACTACCTACGAATCCGGACAAGAATAAGCCAACTATCACCAAGATATACACCAGCAAAAAACAAACAAAAGAAGCAACAATCATAGACCACCGGCAACGGGGCACATAACACTCAAAGGATACAAAACATCCAACAGTTACAACCCATCCAAGGAGTGTAAGGTCAAGGGATGCAAATCAAGGGGCATGACCCTCGGAATAAAGATACAACCATTAGGAAAAGTTGTATCAATTAGGAACGGCTGTTAGAAGCAATATAAATAGAAGTAATTCAGATTAGAAAAGGGAGGAAAAAGAAAATTAGGAAGAAATTGTATTATGGAGAAACAGTCTCTCAAAAACGTGTTTATAAAATATCTCAAAATTATATCTATAAATTCTATTCATTTTTCAATCCTATCCATTTATTTTCTGTCCATATCCATTTGGTATCAGAGCACCTATCAGGTACTTTGCTTCTAACAATGGTGATAACTCATTCTAATTCTGATAATCATGACATAATGGAGAGAACATGTTTTGCACAAATAGAAGCCATGATAGAAAATTTGTCCAAGCATTCAGAAAATGGGTGAGGTTCCGTCAATGGAGAAGAAACACCCAAGAACCACATCGTGGAAGGAAAAATAGAACGATGGAGAAAATTAAAAATCCCCGTATATGATGGAGAATCTAATGCCTACAGATGGATAAATAAATTGGAACGTTTCTTTCAAATGAGATATACTAGAAGAAGAGAAAATCCAGGCAGTTATGGTGGCAGTAGATGGAAAGGCACTATCTTGGTTCCAATGATGGAAAACTTGCAACTCTAACATTGGATGAGGAGAATTCAAAGTTGTCATTCTTGAAAGATTCCAAACTTCAGCCACTCTCAACCCTTTTGTTGTCCTCCTTACACTTAAACAAGAAGAAACGGTAGAAGAGTATGTTGAGCAATGCAAAAGGTTAGCAGGTATATTGCAAAATAATGGTGAAAAACATTTAAAGGACATTTTGTGAACGGATTAAAGGAAACATTGGGGCAGAAATTAAACTCTACGAACCCCCCACTTTATCAATCATGGTCAAGAAGACATTAATGATCGAGTAGAAAAACAGAGCAATTTGGAAGGTGGGAATAAATATTATTTCAAAATCAATCTCAAAATTCAACACATCTTACCGAAGTTTATTTCATACGAAGACGGTTACTTATGGTGTTAGTCAGAAAGGTGGGAAAAATAGCAATGGTCCTTCCAATTCTTTTGCTAGTAGTGCATCTGTTAACAAACTAGAAAACAACCACTGACCTAGAAGTTTTCAACGATTAACCGAAGCAAAGCTTCAAGAAAAAGGAGAATGTTTTTGCTGTGAAGAAAAATGGAGCACCTCTCATGAATACAGGAATAAACAACTTCAGATAATGTTAGTAACAGATGACGAAAACTCCAAAGATGAACATGAACCAAAAATTAGAGAAACACCCTAATTATCCATGAATAGTATTGTGGAATTTACTTCTCGCTGATCCTTAAAGATTTGGGGAAATATTGATGATCACAAAGTGATAGTATTAATAGATTACAGTGGCAACCATAACTTCATTTCCAAGGAACTGGTGGAAAAACTACAATTAGATATGGATGACACTCCGTCATACGTGGTCAAAGTTGGAGATGGTCACAAAATCAAATGCAAGGAAGTATGTAGAAAAGTTCCTTTGAAGGTACAAAAAGTACAAGTACAACAACAATTCTTCTTGTTTGGCCTTGGAGGCGTAGATGTGGTTTTAGAAATGGAATGGGTTGCAAGCTTGAGAGAGATTAAAGTCAACTTGGAATGACTAACATTGACCCTCAAGATTGATGGAAGAAAGGTGATTTTAAAGGGAAAACCTGAATTTTCAAAGAATGATGTCTCACTTAATACTATGTTGAAAGCTATGCATCAAAGAGAAGGGTTCCTTATTAACTATCATCATATTCATACAAAAAGAGATTGGAAAGATACAATTCCTTCATAATTAAAAGATGTGCTAGATGATTTTCCCTCCATCTTTGAGCCTTCAGAAGGACTTCCTCCTCAACGACACCAGGACCATGTCATTCATCTCAAAGAAGGAATCCAAATATTGAATATTAGACCATACAGGTATCCTCATTTCAGACAACAAAGATTGAAAAATTGGTTACTAATGTTAGAATTAGGAATCATCATACCATCTACAAGTCCTTATTTCAGTCCTATCGTACTAGTCAGAAAGAAAGACAATAGTTGGTCGTTTTGTGTAAACTACTAAGCCTTAAATAAAATCACAATTCCCAACAAATTTCTCATCCCAATAATTGAAGAATTGTTGGACGAAATAAGATGGACTCATGTATTTTCAAAACTGGATTTAAGATCAGGATATCACCAAATTAGGATAAAGGAAGATGTCATTGCAAAAATCATTTTCCACACACATGAAGGCCACTACGAATTTATGATACTTCCACTTGGACTCACTAACGCACTTTCCTCTTTTCAATCATTAATGAACGAAGTTTTGTGGCCAATACTTCGGAAATATGCTTTAATATTCTTCGATGATATTCTAATATACAACCCTTCCATGGAAGAACACAAACAACACCTACAAAATGTATTAACATTATTGCAACAAAATAAATTGACGATCAATGGCAAGAAATGCTCCTTCAGGCAAGCACATTTGGAATATCTAGAACATGATGTTTCTACTGAAGGAGTATATCCTAAGAAGTTAGACACAATAACACTATGGCCTACACCCAAGAATGTTACCAACTTAAGGGGATTCTTAGGTCTTCCAAGCTATTATAGGAGATTTGTTCATAATTATGGAAGAATAGCAAGGCTATTAACCAACCTGCTAAAGAAAAATGTCTTCCAATGGAATCCAAAGGCACAAATTGTCTTTGAACAACTAAAACAAGTCATGACCAGATTACCTACATTAGCAGTTCCTAACTTTTCAAAGCCTTTTGTGATGGGAACTAATGCTTGCGGAATCAAGTTAGAGGTTGTTCTAATGCAAAAAGGAAAACCCCTAGCCTTCTGGAGCACTAGCCAATATGAAAGAAACCAGAATAAATTAGTATATAATCACGAATTGATGAAAGCAGTCCAAAAATGGCGGCACTACTTGTTGGGAAGCCATTTTATTATTAAAACTAACCAAAAAAGGTTGAAATTTTTTACAGATCAAAGGATACTCAGTAAGGAACAATACAAATGGACTTCCAAATTGACAGGATACGATTTTGAAATACAGTACAAACCAAGAAAGGAAAACTCTACTAGTGATACGCTTTCCAAGAAAAGTTCTTGTTATGCAAGACCTAATTATTAATCTCCCATCACATGTGGGTTATACTTTGAGGGATCAAAAGTTATTTTACAAGGAGAAAATGGTGTTATCCAAATCTTCCTCCCGGATTCCAATCATTTTAAAAGGATTTCATTCATCCCTGATAAGACAACATTCGGGTATCTTCAGAACTTACAAAAAAATAGCAAGTCTAATGTATTGGGAAGGGATGAAAACCAACATCAAAAATTTCATTGTTGTTTGCGCAGTTTGTCAAAGAAACAAAAGTAACAACTTATCTCCAGCAACACTACTACAGTCGTTAGCAATCCCCACTCATGTATGGCCAAATATTTCTATGGATTTTATTAGAGGACTTCCTAAATCCATGGGGAAGGATACAATCCTAGTGGTGGTTGATCGACTCACTAAATATACCCACTTCATACCATTAGGGCACCCCTATACTGCTACCAAAATTTTTGCAGTATTTCTACAAGAAATTGTGAAATTATATGGATTTTTGTCTTCCATTGTACCAGATTGTGACCTTTTATTTCTAAGCAATTTAAAGAAAGCCTTTTTAAAGCAGCAAGAACACAACTAAAGTTCAATTTAGCATACCATCCCTAAATTGAAGAACAAACGAAAGTTGTCAACCGATGTTTGGAAGTTTATTTGTGATGCTTAACTAGAACAAAATCTACAAAATGAGTCTCTTGTCTTCCTTGGGCCAAATTCTGATTTAACACCAATAATAATGCTTCAGCAAACTGTCCTCTTTCAAAGCTTTGTATAGACATGATCCCCCTCACATTCTAAAGGGAACCACCATTTCTTTCTGTCTGGAAGAAGTCAACAAGCTTACATTTGCTCGAGATGAATTATTGACTACTCTAAGAGAGAATTTGCTTAAATCCCAAGATGTCATGCGAACAAATGCCAACAAACACCGTGATATAGAATATGCAGTTGGTGATAGGGTGTTCTTGAAAATGCAACCTTACAAAAGAAGGTTCTTAGCTAAAAGAATTAATGAAAAACTCTTCCCTTGATTGTATGGTCCTTTCCAGGTGTTAAAAAAAGTGGGTGTTATTGCTTACAAATTGGATCTTCCATCTCACAGTAAAATTCATCCCATCTTTCATGTCTCTCTCCTTAAGGTCATTGGTGATTCTTTCCAATCACAACCTTTACCACCTATGTTATATGAGGATCAAGAATTACAAGTTTATCCATACTCTATTTTAGATATTCGTGAACTACAACCTAACAACATGAAAGTCTTAATTCAATGGCAGAATTTTCCTCCAAGTGAAAATAGTTGGGAATTTGTGGCTAAAATACGAGAGGTTTTTCCAACTTATCACCTTAAAGACAAGGTGAGTCTTTTAAGCAGGAGTATTGATAAGAATGAGCCAACTATCACCAAGATATACACCCACAAGAAACAAACAAAAGAAGCAACAATCATAGACCACCAGTAACAGAGCAGACAACACTCAAAGGATGCAAAACACCCAACAATTACAACCCATCCAAGGGGTGTAAGGTCAAGGGATGCAAATCAAGGGGCATGTCCCTTGGAATAAAGATACAACCATTAGGAAAAGTGGTATCAATGAGGAATAGTTGTTAGAAGCAATATCAATACAAGTAATCCAAATTAGGAAAGGGAAGAAAAAGGAAATTAGGAAAAAATTGTATTATATAGAGAGACAGGCTCTCAAAATCCTTGGTTATGAAATATCTCAAAACTATCCCTATAAATTCTATTCATTTTTCAACCCTGTCCATTTTTTTTTCTGTCCATATTAAATCCCAAGTCACAAAACAAACAAAATTGAAATTTAAATAAATTCAGTCTTCATAATGATCCTGTACTGCATAACAATCGGTCTTTCATATATTAAAGTGAAACTTATAACAGATAGTTAATATTACTTTGGTTTCCACAATATAAGTATTGAATCTTGGATTCTTGGTTACTTTGATTTACAAAGCAACTAAATCTGGTAGCTGTTAGAGTTGCTTAAGGTCTCACAAGTCACACAACAGAATTAAGAAACTGACATAACAGCTAAAAACAAACAGCTCTCTTCTACTTGTGAAAATAAAATTAAAAAGGATACCCGAAAAGCTGATGGGCAATTGCGAGGGCAGTAGTTGTTTTTCCAGTGCCGGGAGGACCATAAAAGAGCATGTGGGGGCACTGTAATACAAGATTGACTTGATTCAATGAGGAAGAAGAAAGGATAAAAGGGAGAAGTAGGGATTTATAAAAGGGTAATTACACTTCCAGTATCAAGGGTATTTGTTAGCACTCGAACAACTTCCTCTTGGTGGGCAACGTCTTTCACTTGCTTCGGTCGGCTAGGTTACAACAAGCAAAATTATATTTGCACATAACAAGATATAGAAATAATTGAAAATTGAAAGCAAAATTGTGTTACTATTTCTCGACCCATTGCTGAGAGCCCTGCATGATTGGCGCCATCTATTTTCACGCACTATCAGAAAGAAAAAATAAAATATTTAAGGCAGCTTAGATCAAGGCAATAACATATCAGGCAATGATTCATACAAATAGCTACTAGGAGGACGCATATAATAATATAGGAAATGAGGAAATGGTGCATAAGAACTTAAAATACAGAAACAGTTGTGAGGAACCCGGTGCTAAGTCTACCCAACAGGAAAATTTTAAGCAGATAGTGCATAATGGAATGCGACTTCTATTGCTTCTTAAAATATCTTATACAATTTTAAGTGTATCTGTCGTAAGAAGAGTGCAATCATACATGCAGCATCCACAAACATCTGGAGTATGTAAGATGAAATGAAGGAAAATAGCCACAACAAAATTTCATTGCACATCTGAAACAAATGTCCCAACAAACAAACACAGCATGAAACATATCAGAGAAGTGAACTGAGAAAAGAAAATAATACAGATTATAAGTCTGAAATGAAAAACTTCAGTGGAACGACGAGAGCAGCCAAGCGAGCACGCAACGAATGAAAAGGAACGAGCAGAGTGAAATCGAACTGTAAAACAAGTTGGAAATTAGGATCCTAAGTGAGAAGAAAGGGGTGAGGGTTTTCTGTTCTTATTTTGATATTAGGGTCCCAAATGATTTGGGTAAGGAATAGTATTTTCTTTTTCCCGCCAAACAATTCCACGAACACAAAAATTTGGAGATTTTAAAATTATATATTATATATCATATATTATAACTTTTTATAGATTTTAAATTTTAAAATAAAATCGGTTTGACTCTTTTAAATTTTAATTTTTAAAATATATGGTTTTAATACTTGGACATTAAATTTTACATCCATGTCAAAGTGATCTGTTTTATAATCACATGTAGTGACTAAAAAATAAAATCATATTTTTAAATAAAAAATAAAAAACTAAAATCATATATATTTGGAATTAAAATTTTAAGACTAAAGTTAATGTAATAGTATTATATATATATATATATATATATATATATATATATATATACGATAATTTAGTATTATAAATTGTAAGATTATAGATTTTAATATTCTTTATTTTATATGAAATTTGTATTTTATTATAAGTGACTTGTTTCAAATTAATATAAATGTTATGGCGTGAACATTTTCTTAGTTGTTTAATTTAAAAAAAAAAAAACACTCAAATTCAATTTCGTTAAATTTTAAGAATTTAAATTTAAAAAACCAATAAGATTGTGTATTTTTTTTATATTAGATCCTAAAGATGAAAATCTTATTCCTCTCACTTTACATTACGTTAATGAGATTTGTTCCGGTTCGCCTATAGTATTTCTCACATCAAGTAACATCCAAATATGACCTGCTACAACTGGGTATTAGACACATGATCAATTATCATATATATTGATTTATTTACCTAATGAAACTGTTAATGGAAAACATTAATCTATTTTTCTTTTAATTAAAACTGATTTCTTATTTTGGACATATTTTTGTCAAAATTAATAATCTATATTATAATAGAATAATTTCTAAATGCATGTCTAGTTATTATAAAACAACCAAAACAAGATAATTTTTTAATTAATATATGTTAAATTTATGTTAATATTGATATAATGTAATTCAAATTCATTTTAGATTTCTAATACAATTTTTTAAAATCTCTTTAGTTTTAGTTTATTATTTTTAATGTTTTATTCAATCAATAAATATTACAATTATGAATACCCGTATCACTTAAATAATGATGTATTGTAAATTTTGGAGCAAAAATATATTAAAATTTAAGTTTAAAAAATGTTGAAAACAGAACACATTGAATATATTTGTTAATACACAATATTTATGATAATAATTCTTTAAATCAATTTATAAATATATAGTAAATGATAATAGTTGTGTTTTAAAATAATTTTATATATAATATATTAAGCGATTAAAAAATATTCACATGATTTTTGTACTATATTAACGAAATTCCCAAATATATTAAAATTTTAGTTTAAAAAATGTTGAAAACAGAACACATTAAATATATTTGTTAATATTCAATATTTATGATAATAATTCTTTAAACTAATTTATAAGTATATATAGTAAATGATAATAATTATGTTTTTAAATAATTTTATATATAATGTATTAAGCAATTATAAAAATATTCACATGATTTTTGTACTATATTAATGAAATTCCCTTTTTAAACGTGACATTTTTATTTTCTAGTTATTATTTACCCAAGTTAATTAAAATTTATGCTAACTTATTTATTTATTTTGTTTAATGTATATTTACGAAAATAATCTTAATTTCGGTGAAAAAAATTTATGTGAGGCTTTCTTTCTACTATAATAATATATATCATTATATTAAGAGAATTTAATATTTTATAACCACTTTTTTTGTATCAGAATTTAATTAAGTTTTTACTAAATTACAATAATTTATTATTTAACAATTTATGTAATTACACAAGTTTCATATTTAAAATAACGCCACCAAATATGTTGAATGGATTAGAGGTGAAGATAATCTCCCAAGCTATCATTTTTTTTTTTCACTCTTACAAATTTATCCTTTTTTTAAGTTTTTTTTTTTAAGATACTATTTTAATATAATAAAAATATAAATACACATATGTAAATTATTTTCATTATGATTATTATTATTATTATTAATAATAAGATAAGATAAGCCAAGTTAGTAATATAAAATACGATTTGTTAAATAATAATAATAATAATGGCTTAAAATTTTGATCCTATGTACAATTTTAGTATTGTTAAAAATTTAATTTGACAAATAGATTTATTTTTTAAATAAAACAATTTGTATTTACCTAACATACTTATAAAAATATATAATATTAGTTTTAACATATGTTATCACTAAAAATGTATTAATTTATTGTTTATAAATTAAATATATATTATGTTGGATTAAAATTGCTCAATCTTATAAAATAAGAGGAACAAATGTGCCATTGAATTTTCATATCGATCAAAATTAATTACATTTATAAAATTATAGGGATGAGTAGTGATTTAAGCCCATAATATTTTAAAACATTTTTTTTAACAAGCCGTGTTTTTAAAAATGATTTACCCATTATTTGTAATAAAACTAAAAATAAAAACTATTTGTTTCTGTATTTTTGTTACCCAATTAATATTTTTTGTAAAAAATAAATAAAAGTCAACAGTGGAGAAAAATAATAAAAATACAACCAATTAACTAACATTTAATTATCCATCAACCAACTAATATGTTTAAATAATAAAAAATAATGACTGAAATCGTCAAAACTAATCTCATTTCAAATATAACTTAATCTACGTCTAAAGTCACTTTATGGATTTACAATTCGTTATCACTCAGATTCTGCCACTTGAGTCATCAATATTCATAAAAAAAATATCACACTCATTTATTTTAAAAATTAACTAATTATCTATTTAATTATTTCATTCTTACACTCTTAATTAATTTATCTATAAACTAATTCTGTACTAAATTCTAGTTAATCATATTTATACACAGAAAGATTCTTATTCTATTTATTAAACTTCTTCTAAGATAGAATAAAATAAATGATAGAACAAAAAATAAAATGCTAAATTAATTTATTTTCACAAATAAACAAATTCAGATAAAATGAGGATGTTACTGTAATTGTCAACCACGTGAGAAAATGAAGAACAATTATTTTCCAATGAAATTATAGTTGCTTGTTCCTACTAATTTAACCTCATCATAAGTTTGGAAATGTTAATAAGACAAGTTTTCAATTCATCTTTTTTTGTTCTAACAATTTTGGAAGTTGAATTAAACCTAAAAATTACAGCATTTTAAAATATAAACCACATTTTATTATTACAATTGGGGCCGCATCAAATAACTCATCATTTCAGACTTGTAAGTGTACGTGGTTTAGTAAAGTGTTTAATACAGCAAGAGTTTTTACTTGTAAGAGTAAGTTGGAAAATTTTAAATTAGAAAAGTGTATTTATTTATGTTTTGTTTTGTAAGGTCGAGAGCCTCCACAATTCTCATTTCTGTTAATGATGTTGGTTGGTGTGATCAGTATACTCAAGTTTTCTCATACAAGATGTGGTTGGTGTGCTGCAGAAGACATTTGACTACTTTTAGTAGTAGCATTACAAGCACAGTATATTTACTATTGATTTTCTAACTGTTCTACTTTTGGAGTTACCCTTTTGTGTGGATGGTGGACTTTAACTTCTAGGCCTCATCTAGATGTTTCTAGTCGCCACCCTAATAAGGGGATTTAGTCGTAATGCTACAATAAATATGATCATTGGAACTTTGTGGTGGGATGAACACAATATACAAGACTAACATATCTTGCTTTATGATCATAGTACATGTTTTAAAAAGTAATATTTTTTAAAATTATTTTGTGGAAGTATTTTTTTTTAAATTGTTTTCCTATAGAAGAAGAGATATAAATGTTAAAATTAAAGGAAATATTTAAAGATAACAAAATGGTCAGATTTAATAAATATTTTATTATTTTAACGCAGTTGATCATAAAGTTAATATATAAAATTAAAATTTGTAAAAAAAAATTAAAAAAAAAGTTAATTCTCATTCATTATAAAAACACCTTCTCTTTACTAAATTAAGTTTTTCTCTCATTTTATCCTTCTTATTTATCATCTTTCTTCATTCATCATAAATACTTGATTCTTCTTATCTTATTATTTAATTAAATATGTAAGAATTATTGAATGGAGAACAATATGAAATTTTATCAAATAAAAAAGATATAGATATTTAAATTTGTTCAATATAAAAATATAAATTTTACAAATTTTAATATTATTTATATATATATATATATATATATATTTATTATATAAATTTTATTATTATTCAGAATTATAATTTTTTAAAACAATATATTAAACTATATTATTAATTTAAAATATATATATATATATGAAATTATTGATAAATAAATAATAATCCTATTATTAAATTTATTGAAAATTTTAATTTAAAGAAATCATTTTTAAAAACTATGTCAAGTCAATCTATGAACTCGTCTTTTAACAAGTCGGACCAAGATTTACAATTCATCATAATTATAACGGATCAATTCGCACCATCCCATTTTTAGTAAATTAAAGATACTTTATTGTGATAAATAATTAAAAAATCTATAAAATCATTAATATTACTTTTAATTTTGCAACAAAATTGTATGAATATTTTGATAAATATTATAACACATCAAACAATTTTTGCTCATTCTTATAAATTATATTCCTCATATTAATGATATTCTGACATGATCAAGAAATTTCCTTTTTATTGGGTTTAATGTTATTTTCTTTGTTGGGAAAGATACCTACATGCTAGAGACTTAATGTGAAATTGCAAATGTGAAATTACAAAAGTTTTGATAATAATGTTCAAAGTAAGGTGTACAATAAAGAAGATTGTAATAAAAAAAGTAAATAATGATTAATAAAATTGAAATGATATAAAAATAGAAATTATTAAACTGGGTTTAAGATTTTAATTTTAATTAAAGTCTAATTAAATTTAATAAAATATTTTATTTATAATATGATAATTTATTAATAACAAGTATTTTTTATAAATTAATAAAGATTATATATAAAATATAAAAAATTGTGAGAGAGTAATAATAGTAAAGATGAAAATATAATAAAATAATTATTATTTAAGATCAGTAAGATGATAAAAAATATTATATTTTATATGAAAGAATTGTATTTAAAAAAATAATAATATTATATTTTTTTATCAAAGATCAAATATCTAATCGATCGGATTATTTCGATTTTATACAACTTTAATTAAATTTTGAATTTAAAAAAATAACATAGTTATTTAGTAAATCAATCTGTGTAATATAATTTTCAAAAGAGAAAAAATATCAATTCTTAAATATTATACTTTTCAGACTAGTCTTCATAGGGTAAAAGTCCAATATACTAACAGACACCATATAAAATAAAATAAAAAAATTATATTGATTAACCAAATAATTCATTATTAACAATATAAAATAACTAACATATATAGTTGTCAAATTACCAGGAAAAATAATAAACAAGACATTCACTAATGAGGAAATATCTATAAAAGTGGGAATAAAAACCAATTTCTTGTCAGTTTGTTTAAGATTATATTTTTCAATTTACATGGGAGAGAACAACCACTATATTATTTTCTATCACTTCCAAAACTAAGCAAAATCTTAAAAACACGTGAAAAAAAAAAAGAGAAGTTAATCCTTTTTTTTAAATAATTTTTGTTTTTAAAAACATGCATGCTAAAACTGAAATTGAAAACTCACAATCAGCCAAACTATTAAGATTTTGTCTTTTATTATCAGTTTTATTTTTTATTTTCGATTTCCTGTTTTAGTAAAGTTAAATTTGTAGTCATGCACAATATTATTTATTTTAGGACATTCTTATACGATCACACACAATGGAAATAATATATTTATTTTAATTGTTATTAAGATTTAACTTTTTAAGAGAACAATAATCATGATTGCTGACACTAATTTTTGGTTTGCATTTTATTTTAATTAACAATGGACATAATAATTAAAAAAAAAGAGTATATATTAATTCGACCTCTTTTTTTATTTTGAAAAAAAAGTAAAAATAAAAAATCCGTTGAATGTGAATCAAACGAAAAAAACAAAAGTTATTTTAACAAAACAGATACTAATAAAAAATTTTAGTTCTAAAAACTGTTTTTAAAAACAATAAACAAATAAACCCTTATCATCTCCCAGACATAAATTCGAAATTTGCTCAAATTAAATTTGAAAATGGACGACTTCTTTAAACACAAATTTGAAATTTGCCCAATTAAATTAGCATTTTTTGTAAGAGCATGTGATTGATTTTCAAACACAATCCTCGAAATCCTGAACACTGTCATTGGTTTAACACTGTGCAAGATAAAACAAAATATTTTCTTCCCTTAAAAAAGACAAGTTTAAAGTTATGTAACATTCCATTTCCAAGTACAAATTTGAATTTTGCAGAATTAAGTTCACAATTATTTTCAAAGAGGCATCATCGAAATTGTTTTTCTAGCACAATCCTCCAATCACGAATATCAGTACTAATTCGTGGTACTCGGTTAATTACTTTACCAAATTCAATAGCTCTCTCCCTCTGGTGTGATTTAATATTTTTCGTGCAAAAATTGTAATTATTGTGTTAAAATAGTATAATCTTCCCTTAAATAAGGTAAGTTAAAAGAAAACAATTTTGAAATGTGCAGCGGAATTGGAAAAAATTTCAATTCCTTTTGAGATATAAACAATTTGCACGATCATGGTTGGGAATTGGGACTGGTCTGGGTCCATATCCGCTAGTTGCAAAGGACAGATCCAGTGACCGTTTGAATTCAAATTCAAACAATCGAACCCAAACCTTCGAATTCTCTGTCTGTTTTCTTGCTTACGTGGCAGTCGCAGCCAATCAGATTCCTCAACACAGGGCGCTGTTAAAACGAATTTGAAAACAGAGGCAGCAGTGGGGTCCACATGTGCGTCCCCCCGCTCCTCATCAGGCCCAGATCTACGGCTCAGATGCTTCCCCATTTCAAACCCTCTTCTTCCCCGCCTCATTATTAAATTGTATAAATAAATTAAACTGAATTTATTACACTCGCATTCGCGCACTCTCTTTCTTTCTTTTCGTTGCTAACAAAGAAGCGAACGAAGCTAAAGCACAAAAGACAGCAACAGTAACGTTCTCTTTCTTGCTTTGTTCTTGAATCTTGTACACAGCGAGACGCAGGGAAGCGAAGCGAGAATTCAAAATGTCGACTCAGAATCGTCGTTCTTCGTTTTCGTCCTCAACGACGTCGTCTTTGGCCAAGCGCCATGCATCCAACGCTTCCTCCGCAGCAACGTCGTCTTCAGCCCTTCCTACAAACATGGCCAAGAAGCGTCCACCTCTTTCTAACCTCACCAACACCGTCGCTCACCGCAACTCTTCCTCTTCGGTATCAGTTCCTCTTTTAGCTAATTCCACAAAACGAATACGCCACTAAGAATATCACTAACTATTGGTTCTTGCGAATTTCGCGTTGCTAGGTCCCGTGCGCAGCTAAAGTTGCGAAGACGAAGAAAGAGGTTGTTGCGGCGTCCTCAGGCAATAAAAGGCCCACGTTGGCGAATGTTAAACCTACTAATGCAGTTGTTTTTCCTAAGGCTAATTCTCTCCATGTGAGGAATGAAGCTCCTCCTCCCCCTCCTCCGGTTGTTGTCACTGTTACTGTTCCTCCTCCGGTGGTGGATGTCTCACCTAGTAAATCAGATGCAATGTCGGTTTCTATGGATGAGTCGATGTCTTCTTGTGATTCGTTCAAGAGTCCTGATGTTGAATATGTCGACAATAGTGATGTTGCAACCGTTGATTCAATTGAGAGGAAGACATTTAGCAATCTCAATATCTCTGATTCTACAGAATCAGGTTTCATTTTGTTCACTTTTAGTAGAAAAAAATTACATGGCCATGTTTATAAATTCTATGGATATATGAATGGCTCCTAATTTGGTGATGTTGATATGTGTTTTCAGGCAACATTTGTAGTAGAGACATACTTGTTGAGTTGGAAAAAGGGGAAAAGTTTGTCAATGTTGATAACAATTACGCGGATCCTCAGTTCTGTGCATCCTTTGCTTGTGATATCTACAAGCACCTTCGTGCATCTGAGGTAAAGCTAAGCTACATTTGAAAGCTATTTGCTATTCTAGTTTCATGATTGAAAACTATTCCCAATGTAGCTATTAAAATAACTATTGTTTAGTTTAGAATCTGTTATTAGTCTAATCTTTTCCAGTTTTTGAAACATTAGGCAAAGAAAAGGCCTTCCACAGACTTCATGGAGAAAATTCAGAAGGACATAAACCCCAGCATGCGTGCAATATTAATTGACTGGCTTGTGGAGGTAACTAATTTTTATTGATAACTAACACAAGTTAAATTCAAACATTTTTATGTTGCAAATAGGAATATCTAGGTAATATTTTACTCTTGGGGGAACATCTAGGTAATATTTTACTCTTGGGGGAACATCATTGTTCTTTACAATTATAGTTCAGTGTCACACCTCATTGTATATATGGATACATTCTAAACTCAGTTTCTAATTGCAGGTTGCTGAAGAGTATAGACTGGTACCTGATACATTGTATTTGACGGTAAACTACATTGACCGGTACCTTTCAGGAAATGTGATGAACAGACAAAGGTTACAATTACTTGGTGTTGCCTCCATGATGATTGCATCGTAAGGAATCAATATAAGTCCCTTGTGATTTTTCTGATTGATGGGTTTTCTACTTTTTTTTTTCTTAGCTTGATATATAGGCATGAATGCAGTAATAATATTGGTTTTTGGTATTTGTTTGCAGTAAATACGAGGAGATTTGTGCACCTCAGGTGGAGGAATTTTGTTACATAACTGATAACACGTACTTCAAAGAAGAGGTTTGGCTTGAATTCTTTTGCGGATTTAAGTTATCTGTTTATGTATGTATTTTAGGTGCACACATCTCAAGCATAATCACTCGATGCAGGTTTTGCAGATGGAATCTGCTGTTTTAAATTTTCTCAAGTTCGAAATGACAGCCCCTACAGTAAAATGTTTCTTAAGGTAGTACTGTAGTATACCACGGATGACTGAGATTTATCGTTTGATGTTATTTGAAGCCGTTCTGATATAAAACAATTTTCTTTCTCGATACTTTATTTACAGAAGATTTGTACGTGCAGCTCAAGGAGTCGACGAGGAGGTATCTTTATCTTCTTTGCTTAATTTAAGCGTTTATATAAGGTTTATGCACCGGTGTCTGATAGGGAATATCCAAACAGTGTTGAACCAACTAACAATTTATTTAACTTGGAAAAATAATGAGAATAAAAGTGTAGATTACTTGGTTGTGAACTCATCATCGTCACTTTTTTAAAACGTTTACTTCAAAACACCATTTGTTAACCTATGTGAGGTAATGAAAACCTACCAACTATTATTTCCAACAAGAAAGATAACCTGCTAAGTGGTGGTCTAGCACATGGTTAATTCAGCATAAATTTGTAAAACAAATTGTTTAGTTTTTGAAAGTCTGATGAATGCATAAAACAATAAGCGATAATTTCTTCAAAATAAGTTGAACCAAATACGTATTCAGCCTAAAATTTAAGCTACTGGTTGTGTATTAGTTGATGATCAACATCAACAAAGATGAAGACAAATTAGCTTAGCTTAGCTCCTTTTCAAATAATTTATCGAAATTAAATTGTATTATAGTACAAAAGAAAAATATTAACTGTGAACATAAACATAATTACTATGAAATCCAATTCTGAGTTATGGTTTCATCTGTGTATTTCTCTCAGGACCCTTCGCTGCAACTAGAGTGCTTGACGAACTATATTGCCGAATTGTCTCTCTTGGAGTACAATATGCTTTGTTATGCTCCATCACTTGTAGCCGCTTCTGCAATTTTTCTGGCCAAATTTATACTTCGCTCTTCAACGAAACCATGGGTATGCTACTAATAGCAAACAGATCATGCACACCATCAAGTAGTAATTATAATTTTTGTAAACTTGACTTACTGTCTCTGTTTTGCAACAGAATTCCACATTGCAGCATTACACACTCTACCAGCCTTCTGATCTGTGTGTTTGCGTGAAGGATCTCCACCGCCTTTGTGTTAACAGCCCTAACTCTAGTTTGCCCGCAATTAGGGAGAAATATAGTCAGCACAAGGTAAACCAACTTAACCTCTCCACCTCCTTCTCCTCTCTTTAAAAAGCCCACTCACACTTGCTAAATTTGTTGTTGCTATATTATTTGTTTGGGTGATTTCTCATAATTTATTTGTGTTTCAGTACAAACATGTGGCCAAGAAGTACTGCCCTCCTTCAATACCTCCAGAATTTTTCCTGAGTTGAGCAGAGATGACAGTTTAATTTCCGGTTGGGATAGGCTTAGATTGACTTAACTTCTGGTTCTCCAGAGATGACAGTCTAATTTCCGGTTGTAGATGCTTTTATTGGGGTGCACAGACTCTTGTGCCCACAAATTCAAAAAAAAAAGAAAAAAAAGAAGAAAAAGTTCAACGCTTCAAGAAGCAACTTGTATTATTAGCTACTGCTTCAGTAGCGTCATTTAAGGGCTAAATGAGCCAATGCTTAAATTTTGTCCAATTTAACTACTCCAGCAATAGTTTGAACCATTCTCTGCAACTGGAGATTTATGGATAATCTTCGTCAATATTTTATTAATGCAAACTTTGAGGCAAAATCCTTGATTGGAAAATATATTAAAAGCACCTAATCAAATACAAATGAAAAGGATAGGCATCTCTTTATACCAATGTCTTTAAAACTTCTGCATGTTTAAAGGGTAACAATTCACCCTTTAAACATTCACTTACTAACACACCTCTTATTTATTTCTACCTTTCTCTACTTATCTCCAAATGTTTTTTCTAAAAAGTTTATTTATTTTTTTAGGTTAAGTATGTTTTTAATCTCTATTTTCACTTGAAATTGAAAATAGTCCTTTTATCATAATTCACATAAAAATGATCCCTATGTTTTTGAAATTATTGAAATAGGTCTCTATTTTAAACGGGATTAAGTATATGCTGATCTGTCTAATAGAAACGGTAGGACTTATTCATCATTTCACATGTGCAATTATTTAAAAAAAATAAATAAAAGGTGTAAAACTTATAAAAGTTATTTAAATCCGCATTTATAACATTTTAAAAAAAATTTAAACTTCTCTCGCCATTTACAAACCATTTAAACTTCTCTATTTTAATTTTCGGAAATAGAAATTTTAGCTATGGTATACCATCGTTGCACATTGCCGTTGTGCTACCGTCGCATTGTTAGTTGAACCACAACGAACAGATGAAACCCTCGAATTTCAAAGTTACTTTGACTTCATATAACCCTTGTAGAGAAAGAGGAAGAAAGAAAAGACTTTTGATGTATAACGAGAAAAGAAGAAATAACGAAAAGTAACTGTAACGAGAAAAGAAGAGATAATGAAAAGTGGTTGTGACGATAATTGAAGAACTTTGGTGCGTGAGGAGAAAAGAAAAAGTTATACTTTTTAATTTTATTTTTTTGTTTTTTTAAATAATAATATCCGTTGAATAATTTCTATTTTTGTTAAAGAAGAGTTTTTTTTTTTAAATAATTACACGTGTCAAATAATAAATGAGTCATATTATCTCTGTTAGATAGGTCACCATATATTTAATGCCGTTTAAAATAGAGACTTATTCCAATAATTTCAAAAATATATGTGAACTTTGACAGAAAGACTATTTTCAATTTCACATGAAAGTACAGAGACTAAAAACATACTTAACCTTCTTTTTGTTTTTGTTTTTTTCTCTTTTTCAAAGTATGGGGGCAGTCAATTGAGTGTAGCATTTTTCTTATTAGAGCGATTAAATATATATATATATATATATATATATATATATCAGATTTAATAAAATAATTTTTTATTTTATAATATTATAATAAACTTAATAATAATAATTTAGAAACTAACAATAATAATAATAATTATTACTATAATAATAGTAAATTATAATAAAAATTATAAATATAAAATATAATAGATAATAAAAAAAATAAAAAAAAATGAAAATAATAAAATTATTATTATTTAAAATTAAATTAAAAAATATTGTATTTTTAAGAAGTATTATCATTAAAAATTAATCTTTAATTTTATTATTTTATTAAATTAAATCTAATTTAAAAGATGGTCAGAACTTCATCTCGTGTTCGAATCCTACTTATAGGTTTACTAGAGATAAAAAAATTATTGAAGAAAAAAACAAATGAAACATCTTACTCTTTCCGATCGATCGGACAAGAAAGAAATAGTGAATTTCTTCAAGATAGTTATGTACTTACAAAATAGCGTCTCAATTCATCCTATTCATCATATCGAGGATGTGATATGATTTTAAAGGGTGAACTAGACAGTTCCAATAAGATTTCATTCTTGAACAAAAATCTATTTTGGGGTTTATTTCATCTATTTCATGACCGGAATAGAGGGAGATACACGATACACCATGATTTTGAATCAGAAGATATATTTCAAGAAATGACATATTTATTCACTCTATTAATAACTGAGCCGGATTTGGTGTATCATAAGGAATTTGATTTTTCTATTGATTCCTCGGGATTGGATAAAAACATTTGTTATTGAACTCCAAGGATTAATCGGAAAAACACTTTTTATTGGTTCTACCTCCTCTTTGTTAGGAAGATAATTAATTTCAATTGAATTTTTTTATTTTTAATTTTTATATAATTTTTTCAATTTTATATGGATATAGTTAAAATATAATTTTTTAAAAAGTAATAAATTGATTTTTTTATTTTAAAAAACAATGTTTTATACTAATAAAAGTTTGTTGATAGTCATAGTCTATAATTTATTGATTGACTTTACTTTGTCCCAATGACTTTCCTAAGTCTCAAAATTATCTATAATCTGATGATCAGGATTGAGGAATTTGTTGCAAAAGGATTTAATTAGAAATATGCATTTAAAAACAGCACCAACAAATTAATTTTCAAATTCATGTTTTTATTATTGTCACACAATGACACATTATTCCCGAGAGTCAGTAACAAGCACAGTGTCATATTGGGCATTTGGTTTAACCAATAACATACCCTTGGACATCTGAACATTCTCCCGGTTGAATATAAAAAAGAAGTTACGAGTGCATCGTGGTTCCCAAACCGTCCAATCTTAAGCTGAATATTTCATCCCTTCCATCAAGGTTGGAGATTGAGTCATCCGATTTGGATGTATATCAATGACAAAATACAAAAAAGATAAAAATTTGAATTTCAAATACATCTTCCCAATCTTTCACTTTTCCTCCCGTCTCTTTCTAAGATATATTCCCAGGGTCTTCTTCCGACTGTCTTTACTATCGGCATTTATTAGAACAATATAATAATAATAATATATATATATATATATATATTTTTTTTTTAATAAAATAACTATAATTTTGTGTGTTTTAAAATCATGGTAATAGCTTCCTAAGTTGTTTAGTTTTAAAATTATTTTCATTAGTAAATAAGCATGTCATGCTTAATTTTATTTTAATGATTTTTATTTTAAAAAATTATCACAAATGAATATTTCATTTTTAATTTAACATTAGTGACACATTTTACCTCTCTTAAATTTTTGTCTAATGTAATGTGTTTAATATTATAAAAATACATTATATAATTTAATTATACAATAATATTTGTTCAAATATGTACATCAAATTATTAAAAGATTAATAACTTAAGAATAAAAAATAAATCATTATATAATATTATTATAAAATCAAATATTTGAATTATCGACGAAGAAAGTTGTTGTTATAGAAAAAAAACTTGTGAAAAAATAACAAATACAGAAACAAAATTTAAACAACAATAATAAAATAGAAGAGTGGTGAAAATTGGTGAAAAAAGAAGAAGCCATTAAATATTAATTAATGCTTTTAAAATTAGTTAACTGGTGGAGACAAAGGAGGGTTTTAATCGAAGCAGATTTAATAACATAATTTTATAATATAATAAATATATAATAATTTTATAAATAATAATAATAATTATCATAATTATTATAAATTATAATAAAATTTATAAATATAAAATATATTAAAAAATAAAGATGAATAATGATTAAAATAAGATAAAAAAATAAAATATATTATATTTTTAATAATAATAAATTTATATTAAAAAAATTCATGTTTGGATGAAAAAAATCTAAACTTATTTTATCAGTTTTATTCTTATTTAATCAAAGTCCAATTATTTGGAAGTAACATATAATCTGATTCCCGATTTAATTGATTGAACCCATTTGTTCCATATGATTTTCAAAATAGTGACATTAATAATTGCAAGATTATAAATAATAATATTTAGAGTCATATTATTTTTCATTGAATACCACTTAAATTGTTTAAGAATTGATCATTTTAATAAAGTAATTGTCAATAGTACTATTCTTAGGTATATTATTTTGGATTTTTATGTTTGACTAAATTATGATAAAAATTTATGTTGGAATAACTAATTGAGGTTTATATCGGACAATATAATAATCGATATAATTTTTGTCTCTTTATTTTCAATGAATAGAGTTAGTGTAGAAAAAAACAAAATCCCTTGTTCATTCTTTTTTGACTTTGATTTGTACTAGAAATTTTCTTCTTTTAGAACCTTTTTCTCCTCTCAGTGGAAAAAATACTTTTTTTTTCTTTTTTCCATCATTTGATTTTTTTCTTTTCAACTAGTTTTTCGTTGATTTTTATCGTGTTTTTTCTTTATTCTCCTCATATAAGTGTAAACATGTAAGAGTGAATAGAAAAAGAAAGAGAGAATCATTATGAAGACCTCTCTTATTGATATTATTTTTTGTGTGAGTTGCAGCTACCACTAGAATCTGACACTAGAATAAATTTAGGGGAGGTGATATTTTGTTTCATATGCCAATTTAATCATTTTGACTTACCTAAGTCTCATGGTTCGTGACTTGAAACCAGGGATTATGTGGTGTTCGATTGAATGATCTCACCATATAATCGAATGATAATATAATAATATAATCATTTGACTTATTTTGAGCCTCAATATCTATGACTTGAAACTAAGTGATTGTATAGTGTCCAAATAAATTACCTCATTGCGTGGCTAACAAAATTGTTTGATCACGACGTAATATTCTCTTTTAAGAGTGTGATTCTGAATATTTTGCCCAAAATTATGATGTATTACCATAAATCTTACCTAACGAGAACCAAGTTATTATATTGATATAATAACATAATTTTAGATTCTAGTCCAAAGATTTTAAATCCCCATTAAAAAAAGATTTAGGCTTATATTATAACTAAATTCACTAAAAAAAATATAACTTTATCAATATAATTTTTTTGGTTAATAGTAAATTTTATCCATATAAATTTATTTAGTTAACAACAAGTAGTAAACTTGTAAATAAAAAATAGTCTTTTTGATTCAATTTTTTTCCACTAGTAGTAATACAAATTTGTATTGTTTCTTTAGAAGATATAGGTCGAATTTTTATTGGAATAAATATTAAACCTAACTTAGTAACTTGTGCATAGTCTAAGTTAAAATATTGTCTTGTGTTTCATGTGGTAACATCAAAATTGATCAAGCTTTTATAAAAATCCATTATTTAACTCAATTCATGTATAGCTCTAAAGCAAATCATAATTTATTATATGTCACATAAGTTCTTTCACGCATTTGTTTATACACAAAAATAATTAATTTTGTAACATGTGATAATAATCTATATATTTAAATTATGAAAGTGTTTTGAAATCCAAATCTCATTATCAAAAATACTTTTTAAAATATAAGGTCATGTAAAAAATATTTTTTTTTTAAATTATAAATAACCCTTAATTTCCCTAATTTAAAAAATACACATTAAATACATTAAATATTCTTATTTTAAGTGTATGGGAATTTTTTGTTCAGAGCAAATTCAAAATTGCATGTAGTCATCACTTGCATATATTTGTTGTTTCATTGTCTTGAGTTTAGAGTTTGGGATATGTAAGATGTGCTCCTATATAGTTTGGCAAGCACATACTTGTATTGGGAAACAGTGGGTAAGTTATTGGTTGAGCAAAATACAATGTATTGCACCCATCATCAAGTAGGAATTCTAATTTTTTTGGCACAAAAGTTCCACATTGCAGCATTGAACGCTCTACCAGCCATCTGATATGTATATTAGAGTAAAGGATCTTCGATTCTCTACTGTCTCTGACTCTGTTGTCTTGTTTTCTGTGGTTCTTTCTAATGGCTAGACAGATGATAAACTTAAGAGCAGTTATTTATTTATTAGCTGACAAGTTTGATGAAAACTGAACATAGATTTAATGTGGTGAGGTACATAGCTTATAAAAAGTTGCATCACAGAGCACACTGAGGCTTATTATACAGAGTAAAGGCAGAGGAATTGGGCATATTGTTGAGCCAATGACAATCTTCGAAGAAGCAATAGGGTCCCCCCTTTGGCCTCTTAACATTCAGTGGCCTTATATACTTGGGAGACCAGGCCGGTGTTCCATCCTCGTAGGAATTATGAGTCAGTCTCTTCAAACCCGACCCATCCAATCTGATGCTGAATATTTCACCATAGGGTTGGTAATGATGCGGGTTCGAGATTGGTTCAGAAGATATACCCGCATAATCAGAAGTAAACGTTAAGCTCTTCCCATCGGGGCTAAAATAAGGGTGGTTCGTCTTTCCGCCGGACCCGCTCTGAAACACCTTCCGCAACCCGGTTCCGTTCGGATGGATCAGATACAACTCGAAACTCCCGGTACCCGGAGCATGCCGGTCTGACGCGAAAGCGATCCATTTCCCATCCGGTGACCAGTTGCACATCGTGTCAGTCCACGGACCCTCCGTCAATATTCGAAGCGCCTTTCTCTCTCCATCAACAGCGTCCATTATGTAAAGGTTCTTGTGACCCGACCGACCCGACCGAAACACAATCCATTTCCCGTCCGGGGAGGATGACGGAAACGCGTTGTTCTTTCCGTCCAAGGTCAACCTCTTCACACTGTTTCCGTGATCAACGTCAATGGACACGATATCAACCTGCGTGCTCTCCGAGGCAAATGTTTGCCCAATCGCAGTGTATATGACACCGGGTCGAACCCGGTCCCAGGAGGTGGAAAAAGCCATCGCGTTGGAAACCTTACGCAGGTTCGAACCGTCCCGGTTCACGACATAAACCCCCGGCATATCAACATACGCGATCCGGTCTCCGGAGGGTGAGAAAACCGGGAAAGAACCGATGAACCGGAATAGAGATAAACCGGGGACGGGGCTCCGAACGTTTTCGAGTAAGAACTGGGGGCTATTGTCTGCTTTGGGTTCTCCTCTGCACTTGTGGTATCCGACTCGCGATGAATCGGGCGAGATGAAGGGGTTAAGGTGGTGCGAACTAGGTGAGACCAACCGAGTCAGCTCAGTGAATTCGTTACTAACCAGGTTGAATAATTCGATATGACGAAAGCTTGAGCTTGGTCTTCTCGTTGCGACGGCGATGAAGTTGTTGTTGCCTGGGGAGGTGGCAGGTGTGAACGCGTGGAGACCCGGTGGGGTGACTCGTTCGACGATAACTGAATCAACGGAAACGGGACCGTTGGAGGGAAGAATCGCTTTATAAATGCTCCACCACTGGTCGTCACCTCTACGGTGGAAGTAAAGAGTGCGATCGTCGACCCAGGAGGGCCAGCCACCGTGGTCGACGATTTTGACTCGGTGAGTTCCGTCGCGAGTGAGGAAGACGTAGATGTCTGTGGTGAGATCCTCTACTTCGCCGGCCCACCCATCTGGGCCGTAGGAAGCGACAGCGGTCCAGAGACCGGAAGGGGAAAGAGCTGGGCTGAAATCAGCGACACCGTAGGGGGTGAGTCTCTGGGTGAGGCCCGATTGGAGGTGGGTGGAGTAAACCGCGGCCCAACTGGCCCGTGGCACACCTGGGTCCTCGTGTGTGGAAACGTATATCAAAAACTCTCCATCGGGGGTAACACTGGGTTTGTCTTTGATGGAAGGTTGAGAAGTTTCGGTGGGCTTGTTCGGTAACAAAGGGGTTTGGGTTCTGTCCGCGACGATAGATTTTTGAGTTGTGGAAGTGAAAGTATAAACGGCGTCTAAGTAAATGGTGGGTGATCCGTTTCTCTCCGTTACGTAAACGAGTTGGAGAGGAGGAGAGTGTGTGGGGAGTTGGATAGAGGAAGCATTGGAAATGAAATGGCCGTTGAAATTAACGGAGTGGCCATCGGTGAGTTGAAGTTCTTGGTTAGGAGCGAGAGGTTGTTGGTGAATTGGAAGAGAATAGATGTCGAAGGCGTAGAAGGCTCTGCCGAGTGTGGTGAAGATGATGCTGGTGGAACCGTCCTCCTCCGCCGCACAGCTTAGCGTTATCAGTAGCACTACAACTAACGGAAAAGGTAAGTGCCTTGTCTCCATCGTTTGTGTGAGAGTGAGTCTGAGTGACTGTTTGTCTGGAACTAACAGGAAAGCCTAGCTTTTAAAGTAATCTCCCATGGATTCCATTCCCATCTAGTTGAGTTTTGGAATTTTCTTATCCTTCATATATTATTTAAAAAAATATATTTATATATAATAAATAATTTTAATATTTTTATATATTTTTAATTTTTATTAATTAAATATATTTTTTAATTTTTATTAATTAAATATATATTTTAATTTATTATATTTACATAAAATATATATTTTAAAAATATTTATTTATCTTTATTCTTTATATAAATTAATTATTTTAGTTATTATTTAAAAATATTAATAAATATGAAATATATAATTTATAAAAAATATATTAATAAATTAATTTTATTTAATTAGTATAAAGTAATAAAAGTTATAATAATTATTTCTTTTATTTTTTACAATATAATTATTTTATCTTAATAAAATTTGATATATAATAAATATAAATAATAAAATTTAAAAAATGTTATATAATAAAATTTAATACAAATAAATTAAAAAAAATAATATTAAATATTTTTAAGATTGATTGTGTTTACCGAAATTAACTAAGATTTCAAAAATGTGAAAAAAATATAATAAAAAAATTAATTAAAAAATAAAAAGAAATAAAATATGAATAAAAAGTAAAAAAATATAAAAAATTACTTAATATAAAAAGTAAAAAAAATATTAATAATTTAAAATTTAAATTTAAATATAAGTGAAATTAAAATAAAGATTGTATTATCTGTTTTTTCCCCCAAACAGAGAAAATTGAAATCCGCGATACATGGGTTTTTTCTTCTGGGACTAAAAACAGATGAACTAACCCATGTATCCCTTATTTTAAGAGGATAGAAGTGGGCCTAGCTTATCTTCTCTATTTTCCTGTCTGTCAATTTTTATCTCTCCATGTTATTATCTTTTCAATTTTTTCTCATCACAGGTGTTTATTTATTATGTATTATCCATTCTTGCTGTTGTGCGCAGTGATGTCAGCCGAAGATATTTAGGAGCTGTTTGTTTCCCGGGACCAAACATGAACAATCACAGTACGATTTAAAGTCTCTGCCTCCTACAACCATACGCCATATTTTCTTCACCACTTACCTCCAACTTTCATATGATGCTTTGTGACTAATTCTAATATCCAAATTCACCTCTAACAATCACATAATCATTTTAAATTAGATCATGTATTATATTTTATTTAATATTATTATTATTATAATTTTCTCTCAACAGCATTTCATTATTTTTGTAGTTTTCTCCATTTAAATATTTTATTTAAAATTATCTAAAATAAAATTAATTATTTCTTTTAAATTATTTGAAACGCGTGTAACGTAAATATTAATGTCCTAAATTGACATAGATTTTGTTAGGAATCAATGAATTAGTTGGAATCTAGATTTAGTAGTTGAATTTCTTAAATTCAGAGATGAATGTGGCAACCATTCAAGGTCCCAATTTTGTAAGGACACCAAAAAAAGTTTTTTTTTTTAAATATATTTAAAATTATAATTATTATTAATATTATATGTATTGTTATTAAAAAAAATTATAACAAGTTAATAATCTATCAGCAAAATATTAATAGGTGATAAGTGACGTTTATACTATGTAGTTAATTATTTTGAAAATTGAAGAGTTAGAAAATGTTTAACATAAAATTATATAATTATGAATATAATATAATTTTAGTAGATATGATTATTAAAAATATTCTAAACATGAATTTATAAAACATCAAATTCCTAGGTAATATACGATGATAAAAATATAGTTGAACACATATTCCTAAATTTTGTTTTTGATATTTTTTATATAAAAAATTTATCACCAACAAATGTAAATCGTTTATTTTGTATGGTTCAACCCAATTCGTATATATATATATATATATATATATATATATATATATATATATTGATAATTTTGTATTTTTATAAATAATATTAATTTTCCAGTGATAACTTTAAATATCTTAAAATGTTGATAAATAATTAAATTCATGTGTTATCTAGGATTATGTATGAATTGACTCAAAATACTTATGCATAGGTAAAATATGTTATTGTGTATATTAAGTACATCCATCTCCCAACAAAGTCTTTGATATCTTTGTTTATTAATTACAACTTAATTTAATGCATAAGTAAAATCCAATCTTGTGTAGTTAAATATATTAATCTCCATGCAAGTATTTGATATCTCACTTTATCAATTGAGGATTGATCTAATGTAGTAGATAACTTCAAACCTTCCTCTATTGATGCATTGCTAATTGGTAAACTGACATACCTGTTTCTTATAACATGTTTAAGGTATATTTTCTTTGGGACAAAAAAATTCCTTTATTGGATCTAGATACTTTAATCTCCAAAATATATTTTAATGGACCAAAATCCTTTATTTAAAAATCATTTGATAAATACTTATATAATTCTTTACTTTCTTCTAGATCATTTGTTGTAATAATCATATAATTCATAAATACATTAAGAGTAGTAATCTTATCTTCTTCTTTTTTTAAATACAAAGTATGATATGAATATTTTGGTGATATCCAAATATTATCATAAATTTTGTAAATCTTTCAAACTATGCTTGCGGGTATTGTTTCAAGCCATATAAAGATTTTTTTTAATTTACATATTCCTTTATTGTGTTTTTTGGGTACCATGCAACCTAATGGGATTTTCATATACACTTCTTTAATCAATTCCCATGCAAAAATATTTTATGTTGTAAATTAAGGGGTATTGCAAAACAGAGAACGTGTTCTCACACGTTGCAGAAAACCGTTTCAGAGCACGTGTTCTCACATGTTGCAGAAGACTGTTTCAGAGAACGTGTTCTCACACGTGGCAGAAAACTATTTCAGACAAGTTGCAGAAGACCGTTTCAGAGAACGTGTTCTCACATACGTTGCAGAAGACTATTTAAGAGAATGTTACAGAGAACGTTACAGGGAACGTTACACACCCACTACCAAGTCTTCCATAACTGTTACAAACTTTCTCTTATAAATAGAGACCACTTCACACTCTTCAGAACACACCTCTCTCATATTCTTTTCTCTGATCTTTTTTCTGTGATCCTGAGTTAATTTACTCTTTTGAGAGTTTCTTGCTAGTTTCTGAGATCCTCGGATATTCCGAGAAGTTCCTGTTTGAGGACTTGCACAATACACCGCGGATAAGTCCTTAAGGACAATGATTATACACTCAGGAATAAAGTTTGTTCGTGTCTCTGTCAACATTTACAACATTTTATACATCAAATTGCTACAATAATCAATCCAAACTTGTTATCAAATATAATAATATTTGAAAAAAAATGGTTAATTTTCATTATAAGGACAAATGTCTTTGTGCAATCAACCCATATGTCTAAGTATATTATTTTATCACAAGTCTTATTTTAAATTATTCTATTGTATCATATGCTTTCTGTTTAACGGTGTAAATTCACCAACTTCTTACTGGTTTATTTTCTAGTAGACAATCGATAATAATCCAAATACCATTGTTTTGAAGTGAGTTCATCTCTTCATTCATAAAAGCCTTCATCTTGGAATAACTAAAACTTCTTACAAATTATTAGAGATAGTTATAATAAATAACTGATTCATAAATATTTTATTTATTTTTAATAGTCTATGATTAATGTTAAGGTGTATTGAAACAAATAGTTTGATTAATAATTTCATTAACTTCTAAATATTGTTAGAGTTCATAATTTTTATATTCCCCATAAATGTTTTAAAAACCAGGTCAGATAATAAATTGGTGAAGTCAGGGATGAGTTCAGGATTTAAAGGTTTAATCAGAATTCAATAGAGGTTTAACCAAATATAATGAAATAATATTTTATAATATAAAAAGTATATAATCATTTGTAACAACATTTTTTAATAAAAAAAGAAAAATAATAAAGATTACATGGTTACCATAAGTTATAATGAATATTATAAATATAAAATATATTAGAGAGGGTAAGATAGATAGTGGTTAAAATAAGATGAAAACACAATAAAATAATTATTATTTAAAGTTGACATAACTGGTAAAAGATGAAAAAAAAGAAAAAAACCTAAAATATATATCTTTTATAAAAAAATTATATTAAAAAAAGTTTGATCTTTAATTTTTTTTTGTTACCAAAATTGAATTGACCTTAAAATCCAATCGATTTTGTATTATTTTTTTTGTTTTGACTCAATTTAATTAAAATCCAATTATCTGATAATTAATTTTCGGTTAGACTGGTTGAACTGGATAGTTCGGTCTGATTTTAAAACACTAGTCCCCTCCATTATCACTACATAAAATTCAGCATTATAGTGTTATTATCATTTTATGAAACTTTTTAATGATAAACTTACATCATTTTTTTTATGTTATTAAGTACAACCAAGTTATTCTTGTATAATCATCAACAAATTAAATAGATTTTTCAAAAATTTGGATTTTAGATAGACCCCACGTATTAGAATGTATTACATGGAAAAATGAAGACTTTTATATATTAAGTTATATGACCCTTTGCTAATTCACAAACGTTATAATTAAAATTAGAGACATATATTTTTTTTAAATAAAGTAAAATCGTGGGACAATAAAAATATAAATTTAAAAGAAAAAAAATAATGGAGTTGTTATTAATATTTATTTTAAGAAAAATATGTAAAAAAGAAAAAAAGGTAGTATGTGAAACAAAAATTTGATCAAAGAGTCAATTATAGGTAGGAAATTTATTAGCATCCTACAACATCTTTTCTAAATTAGTTAAATATTTTAAAACTTATTTTGATCCTTTAAAATTAAAATAATATCTTACTATATATCTATAAATATTTTGAAATTAAATATTATTATTAAAAATAAAAGATAATATGTTTTTTATATTTTTTGGGTTTGACGGAGATTATCTCTTTACTCCTATGCATCCCCAAGTAAAATGCAGAAATATAATTCTCTTGTATTAATTTACTTTTGACATAACTGATAAAAGATGAAAAAAAGATAAAATATTAATAATACCAAAAATAAATTTTAGATAATTAAATTAGAAATACATTTAAAATAATTTTAAATAACCAAATTAGAAGTGCAATCTAAAATAATTTTAAATAATATAAATATTATATTTTAATTATTTTTGTTAATTTAAAGATTTACCGTCTCAATTTGTAATATTAATTTATTTATCAATTTTTAGTATCAAATTAAAAATACATTTGAAACGAATATGATATTTTTAAAAATAAATATTAAATTAGAAATACATCCAAAATCATAATAATTATTATTAAAATTATAAATTTATTTAGATCATAAAATTATATTATTCTTATTATTATACTTGTCTAGCAAAATATTAAATGAATAAATAAAATAGAAAATGAACTAATAACAAATAATATAATATCTCGTGACTTTAAAGGTTAGTGTTTAATTTTTTCAATGTATCATTTCACTAATAATATTCTTATTAAAGAAAAATAAATACACTACATCCAATTAATCAAACTTGTTTTTTTATGCAAGAAACAAATAAAATGAGCTAGTGTGTGTTTGATAGGCTCAAAATAAATCTTATGATAATTAATTTAAGATTGCAAAAGAGTAAAACAGTTAAAATGGGTGGTTTAATCTATTCTAATCTATAATCTATAACCTATAACCTTATTCTGTTGACTAAACAAAATAATTAATGATTCAACCTAACTTATATTTAAAAAAAAAAATCTTTATATTAGACTAATAGACTAACCGATCAAATTTGGTTTGATTAAAAATAAAAAATATTAATGTATTTATATCAAAATAATTAATTAAAAAATATTTAAATAAACATAAAATAAAAAATATGTTTTTAAAATTTAATTATATTAATAAAATTAATTTTTATTTAAAGTATAATAATTTAATATATAAAAAAATAAAAAATAAAAATTTACTTTTTATTATTATTATTTTTGTTTAATAATTTATTAATATAAAATAGAAATTAATATTAATAATTAAATATTGAAATAAATGGTTATTAAAAATTTACTCTCATACTTATCTTAAAATAAATAAAATTTTTATTAAATTAATTTATAATATTATTGATAATATTATTTTTATTTAAAATTTAATTATTATTTTATAAAATACACCGGTTGATAAACTTACCTATTAGATTGATTTAAGTCGATGGAAACCATAACCTGAAAATAAGTCTGGTTATTTTTTTCCTTACTACCTATTTTTCAAACTTGTGGGTTGACTAAGCACACTAAGTCTGATAATTCTATCTGGATACAAAATTGGAAGTGTAACATGGTGGGCTGCCGCAGAGCGTGTCACAGAGGTATTGTTCTTGATTGTGGGAGAGGGAATGCAACTTCGACGTTTTCAGAGGCTCTAGATTCAAGGGCTAAAGGAGTGTGATCTGCAACGTCAGGGAGAAATTATGAGATGGATCGGGGTCAAGTTTGATGACAATGACTTTTTGGTCTGGGATGATCTCTTTGGCAGAGTCGAAGAGGGAGTAACCATTGATGTTGTCAGGGGGAGAAGCGTTTTCATCGGAGAACAATGCACAGGTTTTGGTCTTGAAAGTAAGGGTGAACCTTCAGAACATTTCAGAGATTTGTGGGGGGTTTAACAGAGGAGTTATCCATTTCAGGTATTGTGGTTTGTCAAATGTAAAGGCTGAGGAGTTATGAGAGTAAGTTTTAACTAAATTTGAATTCAGCCACGGTGTTCTATTAAATGATGGTGGTGGGAATGTGCTTTGGATTGGTTTTCTCAATCTTCTTTATTTACGTGTTTCTGTTACTGTTGGTGTTATTTTTTCTTTTTGTTTTCGACGATAGGAATAGAAGCTGGCATTAAAGGTGGTGATGAATTTGGGGTTAGTGGTAACGGTTTGTAAAGGAGGAATCACATTATTTCTATTCTTTGCTTGTTTTGAAAGTTACTCCTAATCTACTATTTTAACTTACCATCAATCTTAGAGCATACGCATGGATCAAACAAATATCCCAGAATGAGTACTACATTATGACATTGGTGATTGGAGATATTGAATACCCTGTTCGGAGTTTATGTGTTGGGCTTGAATCTTGTTATAGGTATGTTGTGTTAGGATCAGAGTACCAGCACAAATACACACAACTAAAATAGAGACGAGAAAAATAACCCTGACAATAGGCAAAAATGAAAATTTTATAATGACCACTCTTTCCTTTTACAATTGGAAATTACCAATACTAGGAAAGTAAAAGAGAAAGAAGGAGAAATATTTGGGATGTTTGAAATAAGGGGGGAGGGACTCCTTTTATAGGAAGGAGGAGAGCCCCCAATTGAAGTTCCCACGGATGTGGGACTTCTTTCTTCACAATCTCCCACTTGAAGATTTTGATGAAATTAATCAAATCTTCACACTATGTCTTCTTCTCTCACATCCATGTTGCTTATGCTTCCGATAGGCCATAGAGGGATCGACTCCATATAAACTTGTCGGCATTAACCTAGGCTTTGTCATTACATCTCGCTAGGTTCTTCTCGGTGTGGATCTTACGTAAATCTACACTTCCTTCTTCTACTACTTCTCGAACAAAATGATATCTTATTCCTATGTGTTTTGTCCTCGAATGAAAGGTTGGATTCCTTGCAATGTGTAAGGCACTTTGACTATCACGAGTACACAACAATTTGTTGTTGCTTGTGACCAAGTTCCCCCATTATTCTTTTAATCCAGATAGCTTCTTTACATGCTTGGGTGACGACCATGTATTCAGCTTCAGTAGTAGACAGAGCTACCACATCTTGTAACTTGGATAACCAACTTCTCGCCCCTCCATTGATGGTAAACACATAACCGAGTAGTAGACTTCCTTTTATCCGGATCACCTGCAAAATCCGAATCTACATAACCTCCGACAACCGCTTCGATCCTCCATAACATAATGCAACATTTGAGGTTCCTTTTATATACCTAAGGACCCTCTTCACATTTTGCCAATGTTCTCCACCAGGATTCCCCATGAATCTACTAACCACTCCCACTGCTTGTGCAATGTCCGGTCTTGTACAAATCATGGCATACATAAGACTTCCCACTCGCTGATGCATACGGTACTCGAGACATTTCGATCCTCTCCGCTTCACTGCTAGGACTCATACTTGAGGATAACTTACAGTTGACGGGAAGTGGGGTAGAAATTGGCTTGCAATCTTGCATGTTGAAGCGCCGCAAGATCTTAAGTAAATAATTCTTTTGAGAAAGCCAAATCTTCCTATCTTTTTCGTCTCGGTGAATTTGCATCCCTAAAATCTTGTTTGCTGGTCCCAAGTCCTTCATATCAAATTCCCTAGCCAATTGTGCCTTCAATTCTTGGATTCGAGCTTTGTTAGGGCCTACCACCAACATGTCATCCACATACAACGAGCAATATGATGAAATCATTTTCTTCAAACCTATTGTGGTAAGTACAATGGTCCGAACTTAGTCCGTAGTATCCGAGGCTAATAATGAAGGAATCAAATCTCTTATACCAACACCTTGGCGCCTGCTTTAGACCGTATAGAGATTTGTTCAACCTGCAAACCAAGTTTTCTTGCTCTTTGAAGCCTTCTGGTTGGAGCATATATATTTCCTCTTCAAGTTCTCCATGAAGAAAAGCGGTTTTACATCCAATTGCTCAAGATGTAAATCAAATGCAGCACACATCGCCAGGACAATTCTGATTGTTGTCAATCTAACAACTGGTGAGAATATCTCGTTGAAATCAATGCCTTCTTTCGAGCATATCCTTTTACCACCGAGTCTAGCACGATATCTTTCTACTTGATCATTGGCATCTCTCTTGATCTTATAGACCCATTTGCAACCAATGGCTCTGTGACCTTTTGGAAGTTCCACAAGATGCCATGTCTTGTTTTTATGAAGAGCTTCAATTTCTTCTTCCATAGCAGCCATCCATAGAGGAGCTTCGAACCACTCACGGCCTCTTGAAAAGTTGAAGGTTCTCCTTCTTCACTTAGGAGACAATACGCATCATGACTTGCCATCACATATTGTGAATGCCAAGATGGTCCGACTCTTTCTCTTGTTGATCGTCGGAGTTCTCCTTCTTCCACCTCATTTGGCTCATGTTCTTCATGCTCCTCCTCCGACTCGGAGGAATGTTCAGAAGTCTTCTTCTCTATCTGTACTATAGTCTTGTCCTTTTCCGAGTTGTCATTTATCCGCTTGCTTTGCAGTTCATTTTCTGCAAAGACGACATCTCTGCTAACAATAACTTTGTGGGCAGTGGGATCCCACAAGCGATACCCCTTCACATTGTCGGCATATCCCAAGAAGATGCATTTCCTGGATTTTGGATCCAACTTCGTCCTTTCTTGGGTGTTGTACATCACGTACGCGGGACAACCGAACACATGTAAGAAAGAATAATCGGTTGATTTTCCACTCCACATTTCCATAGGAGTTTTCAACCCAATTGCTTGTTGATGGAGACCGATTTATCAAGTAACGAGCGAGTATTCACGGCTTCGCCCGGAAAGACTTTGTTATGCACTGCAGTTTGCGGTATAGCTCGGTTCTCTCTAGAAGAGTTCTATTCATCCGCTCTGCTACACCATTCTCGCTGAGGCGTGTGTGGAACAGAAAATTGTCTCACAATTCCTTCTTGCTTGCGAGAATGCTAGAAAATCTCCATCTACATATTCTCCTCCATTGTACGTCCTCAAACACTTGATTTTCCTTCCGGTCTCAAGTTCTACTTGTGCTTTGAAGTCTTTGAACCGCGCAAATACTTCGGACTTCTTCTTGATAGGGTATACCCATAATCTCCTCGAGTAGTCATCGATGAACGACACAAAATATTTTGCTCCTCCGAGAGATAATTCGGTGATTCCCGGACATCGGAATGGATCAAGTCCAAAGTTTGCTTACTCCTTGTGGTGGTTCTTGCAAACTTCAACCTGTGTTGTTTGCTTGTCACACAATGCTCACGGAAGGGTAAATCGACCTTCTTGAGCCCAGGTATGAGATCACGTTCCGCAAGAATCTGCGAGACCTCGCTCCGACATATGTCCAAGTCTACAGTGCCATGTTATCGCCGCTTCTTCTTGGCTTGTCGACGCAGCTTGTTGCATGATTTTCTTGCAAGGTGTCTCCCATAAGTACATACAAGTTTGCCATGATTTTCTCTCGCTTTCATGACAACTATGTTTCCCCTCACTTGCCTTTAAGATTCCTCCTTCAACATGGATCTTGCAGTAGAGGTCATCCAATTGCCCTATAGACAATATATTTTTCTTCAAGTCCTTCACATGTCGTACTTCTTGGATTGTGCGAATAGTACCGTCATACATTTTTAATTTGACGAGTACCAACTCCAGCAATCTCCAATGCATGGTCATTTCCCATGAACACGGATCCACCCGAGATAGGCTTGTAGGTTTGAAACCAATCTCGGTGTGGGGTCATGTGCCAAGTTGCACCTGAATCCATTATCCACTTGTCATGAAATTCGTTTCCGCCATTAGAGCCGATTCTCTGCTTCGCTTACCGAATTACTCCTTCCTCCGAAGTACTCGCAACGCAACCCTGTGAGGTTGATTCTTCATTATTCCTCTTCCAACACTCTTTCTTCGTGTGCCCTTTCTTGCCACAGTAGTAGCATTTAAATTTGAAAGTCTTCTTGTTTCGAGAGCTCGATCTGCCATGATCTTGACTCCCACTTGAGCCACGTTCCGTTGATCTTCCTCTCATCATCGTCAAAACTTCTGCTTGTTTAGAACTTTCTACCTTATTCATTCGCCTGGATTCTTCTTCTAGAATAGCTTCGGCAACATCGTCAAAGTGTAGTTGTCCTTCAATATTATTATTTGTAATGTTGATGATGAGTTGATCATACGAGTCTGGCAAGCTCTGAAGTAAAAGCTCTGCACGCTCATTCTCAATTATGTTGAAATTTGCTGCTGCTAATTGGGCAAACAAGGTGTTCAGTTGGTTGATGTGGTCCGTCACCGATGTGGACTCACTCATCCGAAGAGTATAGAGTTTCCTCTTCAGGAATATCCTTGTGTGAAGTGACTTCACCTCATATAATTTAATGAGGGCATCCCAAATCTCCTTTGCGAGAATCTTTCTCCGCAACACTGGATAGAACTGAGTCTGCCATTGCCAAGTGTAAATTTGCAATAGCGTTGCTGTCAATTTTCTTCCAATCTTTATCCGCCATTTCTGCAGGTTTTCCCTCAATTGCTTCTGCGCAATTGTCCTTTCTCAAGATTGCCTTCATCTTCAATTTCCACAACGAGAAATTGTTCCCGTTGAACTTCTCTATCTCGTACTTTGCTGCCATGGTTGTGTTTCCACTTATGCAACTTTCACTTATGAATAGTATTGTCTACTGGAACAATAGTAGTAGACCGTGAACCAGTACACCAAGTAGGTTCCCAGGAAAGAGAGGTGGGTCACTAATGGACACGCTTAAGTACCAAGTCTTTCCTAGCCAGAACTTTCCTCAATAGTACTTTCACACTACCACACCTTTTCCAGTAACAACTCCTTTCTGATGTGGAAGATCAGATTAAACTGCAACCACAGAGCATACTCAGAATTTTACCAACACTATTCTAGTGACTAGCGCAACGGGACTCGAACGCAGCTCTGATACCACTGTTAGGATCAGAGTACCAGCACAAATACACACAACTAAAATAGAGACGAGAAAAATAACCCTGACAATAGGCAAAAATGAAAATTTTATAATGACCACTCTTTCCTTTTACAATTGGAAATTACCAATACTAGGAAAGTAAAAGAGAAAGAAGGAGAAATATTTGGGATGTTTGAAATAAGGGGGGAGGGGCTCCTTTTATAGGAAGGAGGAGAGCCCCCAATTGAAGTTCCCACGG